CCAGAACGGGGTGATTTCCGCCTGCACCAGTCGGATACGAATAGGCCTTTGGCCCAGAACCTTACCAGATCGGCGTTGGTGGCCTCATTGAAATTGGGGTCACTAGCCGGTGTATTGCAATTGTACAGTGCGCAGGATTGAATCCTTTGCAGACGACTTAGTTGTCTAGCCGGGTCGTGTAAGCAGTCGAGTAGCCTTGTAGTTACGAGCTGCTGAGCGTAAGCCCGCCGCTAGCTTGGTTGAAAATGGGATACCTCCCTCCCCGTTTATTCGGCAGCTCCTGAGAAGAGCGCGTGTAGAAGGGGAAGAGTAGGTGGTAGTATTGCGAAAGGAAAGCATCAGTCATGATTTCTACAGCTAAAGAGAGCGTCAGTAAGTTGGGATGAGTAGAGACTTGCACAGATTAGAGAGCATGTGGAAGCAGACTCTAGGTGGAGCGGATTGCGTCCGTAAGTTGCTGAGGTGGAGCAGACCGTGTCCGTATTACGTCCGTAAAGTTGCTGTGGAGCAGATTCAAGGTGGAGCGGATTGCGTCCGTAAGTTGCTGAGGTGGAGCAGATTCGAGGTGGAGCAGACCGCGTCCGTATTACGTCCGTAAAGTTGCTGTGGAGCAGATTCAAGGTGGAGCGGATTGCGTCCGTAAGTTGCTGAGATGGAGCAGACTGGATGAAGCAGACGTGAGGTGGAGCAGATCGCGTCCGTAAGTTGCTGAGGTGGAGCAGACTCTGGATGAAGCAGACGTGAGGTGGAGCAGATCGCGTCCGTAAGTTGCTGAGGTGGAGCAGACTCTGGATGAAGCAGACCGTGAGGTGGAGCAGATCGCGTCCGTAAGTTGCTGAGGTGGAGCAGCATCGACATGCTCATCAAGCACCACGAGATTATCACCCCAGGGCCATAAAAGCCACTCACGGAATCGACGTCTTCGGTCCATGTTTGCGGGTCATGGGTCGTTTTTGGAAGGAAGTCCATTACTCCGACAAGACAGATAGAGATGGCAAAGAGTGCAACTGTGGGACGTTGAGAGTTGAGGAAGAATCTACAACAGCAATCAGAACAGTCTCTGCAACACAGCAATCAAACCAAAGTGCTCACTTTTCCACAACATCGAGTTGGTTCTGGCTTTTCTCTTTACACGGCAAGCCCCCTGTTCCACTATCCTCACTCCGTTGAGCACAATCCAGCTGCGGGGTAGATGTAGCCGTAGTGAGCCCTGCCTCCCGAAAAATAGCGTTTGTGATATCCTCCGACTCTGAGATAGAAGATCTACGTGGTATTCGGGGGACTGGGCGAAGAACGCTCATCGTGTCGTGTTTCCGTAATGGAGAGAATGCGTGTGCTGAAGAGTGTCGTAATTGCTTATCGCTTCGAGCTTTTTGTTGCACCTTCAGCCCACGAATTGCTTTTCTTCGTTGTGTTCCGTTCACCGATGAATCGACCAATCGAAGACCACAAATGTGCCCGACGAGCTTACTCCACTGGCTGCGCTAGCACGCAACGGAAAATCAAGTTACGGGTTGCAGGTAGATTCACATCTACCTACGCATTAGCTCTATGCCCTAGTCCGCATCAACTTAAAGTTTGATGTGGCTGAGCGATTATTGAACATCCTGTGTACGAAGTAAGTTCACGATTCGTTTCGCATCCTTCCGCGCGAACTGTTTGAAGCTACATGGTGTCCAAGGGAATTCGCGTACCCCCGACAAAGTTCGGCAAATCAGAAGGATAGAAGGTACTCAATACAGTGCTGTCATTCGTCAAAATTCGTCAAGGGTTGCGCTTGGCGCTTGGAGACTCTGTAAGCCTGGACCAAGCCACAGCGCCGTGCTCGCATCCAAAGTGGCAAGCCACTCTGAGCTTGGTGCTCCAAGCTCCAAGTAATCCCGCCTTGGTAAGGTCAGCTCTTGCTTACCCGGCCACACGATGCTTAAGCGAAGCTTAGGTCTCCCGGGTTGAACGATGAAACCATGCTACACGCGACACAAAATGCAACTACTGGTAAGCAAATATGAATCTAAGCAAATTGTGTCTGCAAGTTACGCGCAGATGACAAAAATCTCAGCTCGAATTTGCAGTCTGGTTGCTTATGCAGCAGGGCTGTGTGGTCAGGCTGGATCGGGGTTAGGCTGAACTCTCGGCTCCCCATCTGAGCCGTACTCCAGCCTCCCTGAACGTATGACATTAAGGCCAATTGCCTTATTGTGCAGCCAGGCCATCACCTACTGTCGCACGGTTGGGTGCGGTGTTGCAGGTATGGGATATTGTAAGCAAGGCGTGGTAGTAGTATATGGTCTCATGTATGAGTGTATTGTTGTCCGTATGTACAAGTGTGTGATCTGAGCTCGAAAGTAGTCGGCCGTATTAGTCATGCCTGCAGAGCAGTCATGTGATGTGGTCCTAGGCTTACAGATATTGAGAAAAATGTGTGTTGGTTGTTGTATTGTTCTAGCATCATAGCGCAGCTTCTAAGTAGTCCCTCGCACGGCACAATTTGTAATAGAGTTCAGATTCACAACAGCGCTTGGCTTGCGACACCTACCTTTAAGTATGCTATAGGTTAGTCTTAGCGCCCAGCCATGCGTTAAAAATAATGGCACTCGCATTCATGCATGGTGATGTGTAAGTGGAGGTTTAAACCAATAGATATCTATCACGTGCAAGCCACAGCAATGGAGACGCGTTTTAGAAATGACAACGTGGCTCTAATCAGACACAGGATTAGAGGCAGAAGCCTTCTCTGCGTGCTATCAGGTCTGACTCTGCCCACAAACTTTCCTCTACCCTACAGCAATCGAACACTAATAGCGCACAATTTCTACCTAGACCTTGAGCAAGGCTTTCATTCGCTTGACAGTACTGGAAGCCGGTCATCTAGCGATACCGAAGCATTATTTAGAACAGTGGATGAATTATCTGAACAACACAACTCAATATACCAGCCTGACAGAAGTCATTGTTCGATTAGTAAGGCAGCTACTACAAGCTCTCAGTACGAACCTTCTGGTCAGTAATAAAAACTGAAGCGGTCGACTGGACTGACCTCAGCAAGGCACTACAATGGGATGAGATCACGTGGCGAACAAGCTGTGCTTAGAACGAGCGAAAACAGTATCAACAAGCATACAGTAAGTGGTTCTCTAATCAAATGGCGAATTTCGCACAAAAGGCTGGCAATGCGTATAAGTAGAGCTCCACCCTAGCTACTAAGATGCTCACTTCTAACTGCAACTACCTTAAGATGAAAAAGCTTCAACAAACACGGCTACCTGATATTCAGTCAAGGGCGTCATGTTTGTGGGATCTTTAGTGGGATCGGCATACCTTGGCGCAGCTGTTCAGAAAACAGGGCAAAATGGGAACACGGTAAGCAATTCCTGTACCTAACTCTACATATTCCTGACAGGCAACTAATGCCACCATCTCCTGTCACCTTATATCAGGAGGCATCATATACTAGGTTGGGCGTCCAATTGTTCGCAACAGTATCATCAATGTCCATTGTTTCAAAATTGCATCCCTATAATAGAAACAGATGTTTCCGACAGCTCTGCGTAGCTATCTATGCCAGCTCTATTGTCACCTGTACCTTCCTAACATGATTCGCCCATCCGCCAAATCTTGCTTTCGCGAATATGCGCAATGTAGCTCCGGACACGAGCGCATCCATCAAACGCTCTATGTCCTTGTTCTCGCACTTCCCTCGATGCCAGATGTTCTTGTGAAGGGTAAAATATCCGCTTGCATGCAGGTTATCCTGTATCCTCACCCGAGCCGTTTTGGCGCCCATGCTTGCGTTATAGACATCGGCTTCGAACCAAGACCAGCACTCATTGTAGGTGCCATGATGCTCGCGGAAGTCGCTCCAGCCTTGAGATCGCGGTCAGTTCTTTCCAGCCATTCTGTGCAATATCTACCATAAATGGTAGCTTGGATCACGAACCTTGATCGTGAGAATCTGTAATGATCGTGATGATTCTTGGTCTTAAGTGAAAGCACTTAGGCGGGATTTCGACTTGGATATATGGCGTGTCTGGTGATGATGCATCCATGACGACGTTTTCCGTACAAAGCTGTCGGACGGTGTAAGGCTGGCTTCGCCGTGGACATATGACTCTGAAGTTGATGAAGAGAAATACACAAAGGGCAGCGATATTGCAAATCACTACCAGCATAATAGGCAATTTTGCTACCAGTCGGGCTAATGATCGGGCTGTAAGTGGGGTTAGGGAGAGCAACTACGCAGGCAAGCTCCGTGGCTTGGAGGTAGGGCAAAGCATGAATCTTACCAAAGTGATGTAAGATGAGCAGCGAGTTGCTCACCAGGTATTTACAGAGACACACAGCGGCGCATTTTCCATAGAACATCGCGGTTTTAGCGTGACTTAAAGCCGCTTGAACCCTCTCATCACCGCCGACATTCTCCACAACGATTTCCAGTGCCCGGGCGACCCCACTGACGGGTATGTTGATGTCTACCAGGCCCCAGACTTTGATAGCTATTGTTTGCGTTTTCGACATATTGATGTTCAGACGCGACTTGATCCACAGTGGCGGAAAATACAACAAAGATAAACGTAGAGGGGTACAGCTGCAAATGCAGCAATGACATATGAGAGTAAAATCAGCCAGTGGATTCCATAACGTACCCCACGGGCGAGTCGGACACACGGGCGAGTCGGACACTTTTGCCAAGACCCTACCAAAACACGCTTACTACACCAATGCCTCTCCACAAACGCCAGTTAGACGCGTTAAAAGAAGCTCAGATACAGCTTGCGCTTCAAGCTCTTAAACAAGACGCGACTCTCTCTCTACAGCGCGCTGGAGCTATCTATAGAGCTCCCCTACAGACACTAAGCGACCAACGCGCTAGACAACCTTTAACGTACTCCACAAGCGAGCTGGCCACCCAAGCGAGCTGGCCACTTTTGCCAAGACCACACCAATACTGCACCTACTTTGCAACATTACAGCACACAACTATAATATATTATACTACACAGTATACTAAACTAGTCTGTAGTACTCTGTGTATCTTTACTGCATATTTGCGCGTTGTGCCCTGTCTTGCTACATGTGCCACAGCGCCTTAGAGACTAAGTGCTCCTATTAACACGCAACCTCTTCTTTACCTTCTTCCTATTACTACAGGCCTTAAACTCCTTTAGAGTAGTCAGCTACACTCCCTTAGCAAAGACTAGAGTCCCCTCTTGCTGTAATTGCTTCCTTTTGTGTAATTTACAATGTGTGGCAGCCTTGTTGGCTGCCTGTAGGTCAGCAACCTAGTTGCACACTAAAACTAGTGAGTACGCCATCAGCTCTGCACCTTTAGTAAGCTGATTAAGAGCATTAACTATAGACATTGGCAAGCTATTAGCGTGTCTCTAAATCCTCTCTTAAATTAGCTTTAATTAAGACCTAAATTCTAGGGTGTTACTTAGTGTTTTAGACTCCTACGTACTGTTGTCCACAGTAGGTGGCATTAGCGTGCGCAGCTGTACTTTAAGCTTTAATAGCACAGCCTCTAGGTTAAGTAGGACTAGGCTAGCACCTCTAAATCCTCCCTAGATGTTGCTCTCTGTAATTGAGGCGTCAAAAGCCACTTTAAAGCACAGCAAGAACTCAAGTTTGGTGATGCGAGTAATCTTGCTGCGCATTAGCTGCTTGGCTTGGCGGCCATAGGCCTTCTTCAACAGGGCAAAACAGCCTATGTCAAGTAGCTGCAGTAGGTGCAACAAGTGTGGAGGCATAAACAGGGTAATAATCTTGTGTTCCTTGCAGTACTAGTGGAATTCAACTAAGTTGTGGCTCTTGTGGCTGTCTAGAATAAGCAGCTAATAGCTGCTAACAGTGCGCGCCTTTGTGTGCTTATTAAAGTGCTTTAACTACTTAACTCTAAGCTTGTTATTAGTCTAGCTATTATTAGAGATATTAAGAACCTAGTTATTAGGTATACTAGGCTCCTTGTACTAGGCAGAGAGGTGGTGCTTGCTAGAGAAGATAATAAAGGGTAGGATAGACCAGCCCTTTGCGCAGATGCCTTAGATAATACTAGTCTACTCTTAGTTGCCCTGCTACACTGCCTTTAGTCTCCCTTAACGCTTAGAGCCTGTAACAACAGCTCCTGTTAATATAACACCTATTATAAAGCTAGACTTATTAAAGTTGTAGGTGTCTTTATCTTGTATACTATACTTAGCTTTAGTATTCTCTACTAGTAAGAAGTAGTCCCTAATTACCTTAGGATCCTTACACAGAGCTCTCTTATAGTTATACTTGCAATTAAATTTAACTTTAAGCTCTAGCTAACGTTTTACAAAGTTGGCAGCCTAGTTCTTGCCAACGTAGGGCTAGTGGCGCTTAGTAAGTAGAGAATTGGCCATATCCTCCACATCAGCAAGCCGGGGTGGGTATCCTCGCTCGTCTAGCTTCAATACATGCTGGACAATCACCTCCTCCTCAGTACTAGCCATCCTTATCATGTTGGGCTTGCAATCGCGTTGTGAAGAGGTTCTAGTAAGGCGCGTGCCTAGGGTGCTTTGAGAGACCTAGTATATTGCTGCAGCGCGTTGCACGCTTAGTGTCGCGTCTTGCTAGATAGCCTGGAGGGAAAGCTGTATATGTGTTTCATTTAAAGGCTTTTTTACGTTGTTGCGTTGAGGCATTACAGGGAGAGTGAAGTTCGGTGTGGTCTTGGCAAAAGTGGCCAGCTCGCTTGGGTGGCCAGCTCGCTTGTGGAGTACGTTATAGCATCTAGGATAACAACACATAACCTAAACTATCACTAAGTGTCCCACATCACCAAGTGTCCCAAAATCTCTTGGCAGCCTCAACCTATGCTACAACTCCTCAATTTCATTGCTATTAAACAGGGAGCCTGCGTACGTTGTACTAGCATCTAATTCTAAGGACACCTCTATATCCTTTTTGCACGTTCGCGCATTGTGCCTAGTCCTACCACAGTTCCCACAGCGCCGAAGAGCTGGTTGGGCTAGTTCTTGACCACTACCACCACAAGCCTTCTTGGATCGCTGAGGCGCTATAGATGCCTCAGCAGCTACCTGCGCTGCAGCAGTCCCATACTCCATAGTACCACCCTGCTGAATCCGCTTGCGCTTACGCGATTTTCGCTTGGTCATCTCTGCTAATTGCTCTTCAAGCTTATGGATCTGAGCACGTTGAAGCGCATTTTTATGCAGCATCAGCTCACTACCTTTTATAAGCTGGGAGAAACCAGCCTAAGCTGTAACAGGCAAGCGAGTAAAGGAATTGCGTACAAGCTTTGATTGAGATCTAAACTTATAGGTATTGCTTAGAGTCTTTGACTACTATAGCGTCTCTAGGAGGAGGGGTTCTGGTGGGGTACGCAGCTGCACTTTAAGGCAATCTAATACAACCTGCGCGTTGATTGGGACTAGCCCTGCTGCCTTAAAAGCCTTTTAACAGTTCTGCTCTGTAAACACATTAAAAAACGCGTCCTTAAAGGCAGGGAGGAAGCCTTCTTTGTTAATATGGAAGACGCGTCGGCGTGCCAAGTCTCTAACGCGCTAGGAGTACCTGCGCTTCAGCGGCAAGAAGCAGACCACATCAAGCAGCTGGAGGATGTGCGATGAATGGGGGGGCATACAGAGGGTTAGGATCTTGTGTTCAAGGCAGTAGTCCTTAAAATGCTAGTTAAGGTAGCTCTCATGGCCGTCTAAAATAAGCAGCTAGTACCCCCCTACCTGGCGCGTCTTTATATGCGCGTTAAAGTGCTTTAACCACTCTAGACTAAGCGTGTTGTTTGTCTAGCTATTCTTAGAGACTAAGAGCTTCTAATTACGCAGTATTGAAGCCTCCTTGTACTAGGCAGAGATGTGGACGCGTCCCTTGTAGATAATAAAGGGCAGGGTCGCGTACCTAGCAGCGCAGATGCTCTAGATAACTGTAACCTACTTGCAATTGCCTGGCTGAACAAGCGCAGGTCAGGCACGTCTCTCTGCACCTGTGACGACCTTTATAGAGCCAATCACGCCCATCTAGAAGCTAGTCTTATTAAAGTTGTGCACGTTGTTATTGTGGACGCTATACTTGGCTTTAGTCTCCTCCACTAGCTTAAACCACGCGCTAATTATCTCTAGATCCTCCTAGAGTATTCTCTGCCTATCCTTTGCTTGATTGAAGGCCATTTTGAGCTCAGGCAAGCGCGTTACAAAGCGATCAGCCCAGCACTTGCTAATAGGCTTGCCACCGCGTACAGCCAGCAGTTTATCAGCCATATCTGCCACCTCGCACAGCTGGGGCGCAAATCCTCGCAAGTCGAGGTCAAGTATGTATTAGATAATCATCTGCTGTTCAGTCGCAGTAAGCTTCTGGCAGTTAGGGGCAGCTTCTGCGCGAAATGTGAGTCCTTGGACGCGACAAGAGAGTGTACAGCGATCAACGTTAAATGCCTCTGCAGCAGCCTGGTGGCTTTGGAATTGTCTAGATTTCAAGGCTTTAATAGCAAGCTGAAGCCTCCCTTCATGTTCAAGTAATAACGCGTTTGGTAGTTGAGGCATGTTAGAGAGAGAGAGTAGGTAGAGGGCTTGGCAAGTTTTGGGACACTTGGTGATGTGGGACACTCGGTGATAGTTTAGGTTACAACTTTAATGAGACAGGCTTTATAATAGGCTAGATATCTACTAGAGCAGTTGTTATAGCTTTAGAGAGACAAGGACAACTAAAGCAGGTCTAGCTAGGCAATTAGGAGTAGACAATAGTTATTAAGTGTAGTAGTCTGGCCAATTAGAGTCTAGACCGTTACATTAAGGGCATTAATACTAAAGGGTAGGCTATTCTACCTTTTATTATCTTCTAGGGCTACAACTACCTCTTAAACTAGTATAAAGAGGATAATCTGCCCTATAATTAGGTTATTAGGGTCTCTAAGAACAGCTAGACTACTAATAAACTTAGTCTTAACTAGTTAAAGCACTTTAATGCACATACAAAGGAGCATACTATTAGCAGCAACTATCTACTAGTTATAAATAATTATAAGAGCTATAACTTACTAGATTTCTGGGAATACTATAAGGATAACAACATCAGGAAAAGTTTTTCTGTTGTCGAAATTGGGAAATTGTGGCATTGTACTGTGGGCAACAGTAGGACTTGTAGGCCTACAACAGTTATTCAATGTGCATTCAATGTCTAGCTAATTTTAAGCCAACAGCTCTAACAGTCCTAACAGCTGCAATAGCCACAACAACTCCTAATCCTGCTACAATAGTAGCTCTGCTTAATAAACTATACTTTTATTATATTAATATACTACTAAGTCTCCTCTTTAAAATAAGCTATTAAATAATATTATAGGCCTATTAATAGAATAGTTATTAAGCGTAGAAGGTTTTAAGCTTAATATTCCTTGCCAAGACACTAAGTTAAGATTTTTTGCTAGGGCTCTAGCAGCCTAAATATTAGAAAATACAAGAATATTATTCAAGAATAGTAGGTAAACTAAGAATTCTATGCCTAGGCCTGCCTGTTCTGCAGTGTGTGCTTGTTAACAGGTGCTTTGTTGTGTGCTGTTGCAGCTGCTACGTCGTGTGCTGTTGCAGCTGCAGCTGATGTGTTGTGTGCTGGCGCAGCTGCAGCTGCCATGGTGTGCTGTCGCAACTTCAAAACACAAACCTTCAACAAACAAACCTTCAACACTCTATAACTCGCGTTGTAGTAGGCCTACAACAATAATTTTTTGCTTATTTTAAAGCTACAATTTCGCTCTATCTGTGCATGAAATTTCGCAATTTTTAAATATTTAATACTAGTACTAGCAGAACTAAGGGTAGCCATGCAACGACGTTGCAATGTTGTTTTAAGTTTATTAAATATAGGCACTTAGCGTTTTGGCTGTTAGCAACGTTGGCGCGAAATTAGGGCTGTTGGGCGCAAATTGGGGCCGTTGGGGCCGTTGAACAGCTGTTGCACGACCATGCCACGACTGTCAGCAACAGCCAGTCTAGGCCGGATTTCGAAAAACTTTTCCTGATGAAGATTATTACTGTATGTATGCCTCTGCACTTATTACACCTCCTATAGCTACTTAATATAGGCTATTTTACCCCTCTAAAGAAGGTGTATAGGTACTAAGCTAAAGACCTTAAATATAAATAGATTAACTACATTACAAAGCTTAAGTTCCTGCTATACTTTAAAGTAGCCTATAATACTATATCTACCTTAAGCAATATCTAAGGAGGGTTCTAAGGCACTAGACTAGTCCCCTTTAACCTAGAATAGGTTATAATAGGGCTTAATATAAAGCTACAGACTCTATCACTACTACTCCCTACTAACAGCAAGCCCTAGCAGTTGCAAACCCCTAGCAATACCCTAGAATTTAGGTCTTAATTAACTCTAATTTAAGAGAAGTATAAGAAGCAGCAGGGTAGCTTACCTAATTCTGTTCTAAGCGCGCTTAAGCACTATGCAAAGGGGGGAGTAATTTTATCCTACAGGCTAGTTTTAGCCTAACAGGAAATCAGCAAGCTTTAGGCAGCAAATAAGGCCACTACGCAACAAAAATCACACAAAAGAAAGCAGGTTTAGAAGGAGGGGACTCTAATAGTTAGAGAAAGGTAGTGACTAGCAGCTCTAAAGGAGTTTAGGGCGCGTAGTGATGGGAAGAAGCTAAAGAAGCAGGTGCGCGCTAAAGGGGGTGAACCATCTTAAGAACGCTGTGGACAGTGCAACTAGACAGGACATAACACGCGAACATGCAAGAATGAGGTAGAAGAGGTATCTAAGTAATATTACAGCTTGTTTTGCCTTATGCAGCGCCAATTTGTGGTGTTTTGGGCCATAATGGGGTGGAGTTTGGTGGGGGCTTGGCAAAAGTGATCAGCTCGCCCGTTGATCAGCTCGCCCGTGGGGTACGTTATCAAGTGCAAATGTAAAACAAGTATATTATGTTGTTCTCTTGTGTCTGTCGAAGACTAGCTGCGGGGTCTGTTTTGCATGACGTGTTTGTGATGCAGCGGAGGTAAGAGATGCTTAACAGGATAAGTAAGCAGCACCAGACCATCGCCAACAACACGTGATCTGCTTCTCCTCTTAACCGTTACAGTTGCAATGTAGTTGTAGTGTTGGTGTGGTCTTGGCAAAAGTAAGCGGCTTGCCCGTGACGACGTTATAGATAGCCAGCTTTGGCATGTCGAACGTGTCTGTCATCACCTTATATTGGATAGGCATATAGTGTCATGTGAGTTCGAAGTCTATCAGAGCTTAGCTTCACCTCTCCTTGCCTCTGCCAACTCTTCGGCTTTACGCTTCAAGTATCTGTTGACTACTTTGCGTGGGCTCGTCCCGTCAGCAAACCCAAGAAATGGTGCCCCTACTTGATAACCCATGATATCCACAAGTTTTGACGGGATATCATCCAGCTTCTCCCAGTCCACGCATACAAACTGATTCTCGAAGGGTCGAATCCATGGCTGGCAGTATTGAACGGTTAATGCCCGTCGCTCCTTTGAGGATCTGTTGTGGCCACCTCCATGCCATAGCGTGCCCAAAAAGTATACTAGGCTTCCTTTCGGCATGATCACAGGAACAGCCTGATCACGGGTGGGAATGGGCTCGGTCCCCCAGGTATGCGACTTTGGTACCACAACTGTGGCGCCATTGTCCTCGGTATACGGGTCGAGTGCCACCATTATCGCCTGTTCATCAATGTAAGCTAATAAACTGGCTGAGTAAAAGCGGAATCGAGCATGATGACGATTTAATGTACTTACAGAGCCAAGAGGTTTGTGCGGCCGTGGCAAAGTGACGGAGCCGTCATCATGGTGGAGCGTCTGCGGATTCTCGCCTGGCTGTATATCAATGCTATGCATCGTATGCAAAAGCCAGCCTGGGTCTAGGAAGTAGTCGTTGAGGGCGACCACGGCTGGGTGAAGGGGAAACTTGTCAAAGACCCTTGACTTATTCAGTAAAGCGTAGATACGGCGCGTGTTCAAGCCTTCGAACATGTTACGGCCTCCCACGCTCGCAGGGCCGGCCACGTTAGGAGACTTAGATAGACTGTAGAGTTCATCTTTGGCCTCCTCAACTTCAGCTTCAGTGAACGCTCCTTCGATAATAACGTAGCCGTTTTCAATCGTGTGCTCGATGTATTTGTGGAACTGCGGGTTGGTGTTCTTCTTGGCAAGTCTTGTATCTGCACCGACCTGCTTATTGATAAGAAGGTTGTTCTTTGGCTGCGCTGACCAAAAGTCCGCATTAGGGGATGAAAGCTTGGACATTGTTCTTGAAAAAGTCGAATGATTGTGTTGAGACTCTTTGTCTTCATGTCCTGGCTCTTGGCCGTGTTTAACAGGATTATATATAAGGTGGGGTTAGCCGAGGCTCAGTTGACAACATTTAGAAACAACCCATATACATGCCAGTTGTCAGAGCATAGGGCATGAATATTAACAAAATGTCCGAGCGGACCGATTCCCTTGCTCAGAAACAGGGTATATAAATATACAGATTAGTATACAAAAATTGGATTAGTATTCATTTATACCGATTATGAGGTACGGTTAACCGAGGCTCAGCCGAGCAGCCCGATTTTACGTGCCGAGAAACGGGGTATACAAATAAACGGATTAGTATACAAATAAACAGATTGTGAGGTGGTGTTAACCGAGGCATAGTTGACAACTTATGAAAATAACCCATATATATGCTAGCTGTCAGAGCACAGGGCAGAAATATTGACGAGGTGTCCGAGCAGCCCGATTCACGTGCCTAGAAACAGAGTAACTAACTTGAACACTTTGTTGCGTGTTGCATGTTGCAATCTGTGCTAAACATCGCACAAGCTGCAGAAGTCGCAAGGCTTAAAGAAGAGCTTAAGTATTGAAACTCACTAGCACTAGTCTAAGAAGGGATATTGCTTTGCTTAGTAGTTTGCTAGGACATTTGCTGCTGTCTTCTCTGTGTTGTTATCCTCAGGAAGCACCTTCCGCAGGCCAGAAGCTTTTCGCACTTGCTTGAAAAATTATCTAGTCAAGAAAGTGCTATTATTCCATAACTCGGCAGTCGTCAGTGCTCAATTGAACCGCAAGGGATACCGGCTCGTACAGTGAAGTATATTGTGACACAAGGAAAGTGCCTTGATTCCTACCCAATAAGGATGTAGCTGCGAACATGTATGAGGAAGGATTTTCGCAAAAATAGACATTCATCTCATTCCGCATTCTATTAGACAGTGGTACGGATCCATGGAGGACTTCATTAAAAATCAGCAGGGCTTGACGACGGATAGGGTCCCCTGAAGGCTGACGGCGACATACCGTATCTGCCAGTGCTGATAATTTTCTCAGGCTTCTCTCCGCTGATCTGTCAGGTTTAAATTCGAAGTTGGATCAGTGTAAGGCCACGATCATCAAGTACAGGCGATACAGGGAGACGGTTTGACGCACTGGCGCAGCTGAGGTGCAGGGGGTAGCGCGAGAACGCTTCAGGATGCAGGGCTTAACATTCTGAGCAAAAGGACGAAGCAAATACGATAGACACGAACTGTATTTGGTTACTGGCCAAGCAAAGGAAATTCGAATAGATCATAGAAGAGAAATGCAAAAGTGACCACGGTGAAAGAGTATAACAATGCGTACATTGTCGAGGTCGAAAGAGCCGAGAGTAATGCAGTCATCTTCGAAATCCAGGCATCATACCAAACGAACAGAAAGACTACCAGCCATAGTCTGGCAGCTTCCACGTGTTCTTTCCTTCTCCACCAAAGAATCGCATCAGCAATTGTGGCAATTTCAACATAGTCACCACCTTAAGTATATTCTGAAACAGCCAGACGCCCCAAGCAGTTTGAGGGTTTGCAAGCTGCATACCTCCAGTATAAGAGATCTGGTGTTTCTCCACCCATGGACGAAACAAGTCTTCGTACTTCTGCAATGCATCGGGGACCTGGTCAGGAGATTCAATTTTAGAAAGCTCACCGGCTATGCAATACGCCCCGGTCATCGCCAGGCTTGTGCCGACACCCATGGTTGCAAAAGCGGCGTCTCCCAGAATCACGCAGTGACCCTTGGCGTACTTAGGTGTTACCACTTGGCACCTGCGTCCATTAGCCTCTATGCATGATACATGTGTGTCAGATGTACCAATGTGACATGTAGAAGTCGTTTGTAGTATCCAGGCCATCGAGAAAGCGTTCGCTCTGCCAGCCAGCATTGTGGAATCGTTGGCGAAGGTACTTCTTCTGTGTAGCAACATCTGTACGGATGACATCTTCTATTTCTGGCATGTATGCTTGCGCTGTGTTGCAGATAGTCAAATATACGCCCATTGTCTCCTTGTTGCAATGCGGTCTGAGGTGCATGCCCAAGCCCTGATCCTCGTTAGCATGTGCTCAGCAACCGCGGGGTGGGACGACGAACCGGTGGTATCTGACACCATCGCCAAAGTGAATCGTCCTCGGGGATTCGTGGAATTGAGAAGAACGCAATGTATAGCCCAGACGGTTTGATGTGTTCTTTCAGATCCGCCTTGCCGAAGATGAAATTGCGTGTGCTGGACGATATGCCGTCGCAGCCTATCACAGCATCAAATTTCTGGTTGCTAATTTTTCCATTGGTGAAGTAGACGTCCACACCGGATCCGTCGCCTCGCTCTTTCATGCTGTCGATTGACTCGCCATACACAACATCGACTTTTGCTCCCCTCTCTTTCGCTGTGTTAACACCGTCAAGTAACAGACGAGCCAGATCGCCTCTCAATATCTCATACTCGCTGCTTGCGCTCTGATTCTTAGCGTCACCAGTGGCGGAAAAGGTTGCAGCGGTGTCACCTTTCGAGTTCAGAAACGAGACACCAGTCTCTGTGGTATGCATTGCTTTGATTTCGGGCTCCAGTCCAAGTCTGGTGATCACGTCAACCCCTATCGCTTATCAGTGCTGGCCCAGTTGTAGTCACGAGTTCTCTTACCTGGGCCGCGAATGTCCACAGCTTGCCCTGTTGTGCGTGGTACGGGTGATTTCTCGATGACCGTAATGCTAGGCTGCACCTTGAAGCCAGGCTGGCGAGCAAGTGTGAACGCCAGCGAAGCACCTGCAATGCCAGCGCCAGAGATGAGGATATTCAAAGGTTGTTGCGACATGATGATATGGTGATGAGTGATTCACTCGATATTGTTGATGTTGCATGAGCTCTCTCTACTTAGCCTTTCCTGTGTGCGCACCGCATCTCTATCAGCTGCAGGCAGTTATGGACGGATTGAGGTGCAAACCCCCGAAAGTCCGACTTCAGAACAGTGAACCCGGAATGTCCGAGTCGCCGACATCGTGCGCGGTGTCTATTGATGTGTCCTCTGTAGCGCACCGCACCAATCAAACGAGCGCTTGACGTCATCAAACCCAGCCGGAATCGCAGGGTCTTCTACCATCGTCGGGGCCTGAACACCTACCGGTCCTTTCACAATTGGTCGATGAAACAGTGCCGTTGCGAGATAGGATGCCTTCGATGCATCTCGACCTGAGCGGCACCGACGAAATTTTGATCAAATGAAATCGAACGTCAAAGCTGTTCGGACCAAGCCTGTGACGTGAAGTCAGGCTTTGCTATTTGAGCTCGGCACTAAAATTTCCGATCCGACCCCGACACTTCTTCGTGAGACTTTAGGCAACAACATCAAGCCAATGATATAACATAGCCGTGCCTCAATACTCTGTATACATGGTGGTTCAAGGTTGTCTCCATTCTGCTGTCCATCAGACAGCCCAACTCTTACAGCCTTACAGCCAAGCGTTAATCGAACACTCCTCCCTGTAGGTACTCAGTATTAAATGCCCGTCCAGGACCACATATAGGTGTGTTCCCATGGGTAGCGACCATGCTCACTTCCACTTTACTCTACCGCTACCCTTACTGCCTCCCCCAGCATCCCGTCTTCCTCTTCTTGTTCCATTGGTGAAAATGCTTCTTCGACAGCCCATGGCATCAAAGCGAGCTAAATCAACTCTATGTCTGTCAGGTGGATCGCCGGTCTCCTGTCATCCCAAAAAACATTATTTCTCCCACTGGATCGCATGCACCTTTCCGCCGCTGCTTTCCTCAATTCAAAAGTGCTATCCATTCTGGCTCCTCAGGTGAGTCGCATCGGTCAAAGTCAAGGCGTCGTAACATACATACTGTGTGATGACATTCGCCTTCCGCTGTCCCGAAGATCTTGTCATCGCCCTCAAGTCCTTCTCGTTTGGAAATTTAAAACAGACGCCGTATGACAGTGTTTTCAGCGATAAACTTTGTGGCTGAGGCCCTCTCCCCTGCGATCGTCACGGCAAAGAAGACTGCATGCCTCCACTGCCTTTTTTGCAAGGCGATGATGGTAGAGATATGTTCGTCGTGCATGTGGGCAAATAAATTCTGCGCACTCGTCGAAGAGGTATGGTGGAACGTCGCGTTCAGTGTGCCCGATCTAACGGAACTGCTGGACTCGAACAAGCAACCTGTCGTCAATGCGTCGTGCCTTCGAGTCCGTCTTCCAGATGTGTCGCGTTAGAGGTATGCCTCGTATGCACCTCTTCCTATTGTGATCAAGTGTGAGGGAACTGTACTGCTCGTCGTGGCGAAGAGTCTGCATGTTCTGGTGTACTTGTAGCCATGTTACTGCTACGCACATGACAACGACAGCGGCCATACTTGTTCGATTCTTCCGGAACTGAGCGAACGTTTTGACTCTTCTGGAGTGATTGCAGTCTACCAGAAAGTTTGACAAGTGAATTATTTTCAGCTGTAGACGTGGATGATATACTCCGAGTCGTAGCATATTAGGTCGTCTGGGAATTGGATATAGTAGCGCTCATGGAGGTAGGCCACCGACTGCCGCCAATTGACATTTCATTGCAGCTCACATACTTTGCCCGTACAGTCGCAATCTTTTTCGAACGATTTTTGAGTTTCCGTGTCAATGCTGTCCGTGGGTCTTCTTGCGTTGCGTGCAGGTGAGTGTAATGTGGGTTGCGAAAGGCTCCGCATCGGCGCGGCCTCGTTTTAGCGGTGTTGGAGGCCATGTGCAATGCTCAAAACTTTTGGGAGGTCACTGTAGACGGGGGAAAACATGTTCAAAAACCTTTCAATTATGTTGAATTTTGTAGGCCCAGGCCCGCTCCATGGTTCAGCATACCGTTTCCTGGGCCCTGGTAGCCCCCTATACAGGACTCTCGAAGGTACATACGTTCAAAAACGCTCGATATCCGTCGTCCCATCAGTCTATGTCGCCGTTGCTTGTACTCTTGTACTGGTCAATTGAGCACACTTCTGTCCGCTCGGGTCCACCGTGATCTGAGCTGCATTGTCATGTCCGCTTTGGCATGCACCACTTGCGCTCACAAGCTTCCCATTCTGAAGACTGACAGGGTCCAGGTTACGATCTGCGCAGTCGAGTGCTTTAAAGTGTGTCCCATTGAAGCCAACGCATGCTTGCGCATTGACAAGGTCGGGGCGGAAACCGTTGGAGAATGACCGCTGCACTGCAAGCACGTTTGCGCCGCCAATAGTGGAAGGTGTAAGCTGACGGTCAGCCGCGGTGTTAACACAGGCTGCATCCACTATCTCGCCTGCGGTGATAGGTAAGCCGTTGATGTCAGCGGTCTGGACAATCCTCATACCATTATTGCGGAAAGTCAAGCACTCGTTGCCAGGAATTCCGCCAACTTCCTTGAGGACGAGCGTTTGTGCGCCCTTTTGAAGAGTACTCTGCCCGTTCTGACGGCTGGTGATTGCTGCTGCTGATGCAGACGCTGCGAATAATAATGATGTAAAGAGCTTCATGACTTTGACCTGCGGATTGTTTGTGGGCTAGTTTAAAACGTAGACTGTGAAGCAGGTGTGGTTGCAAGCGAACAAGTGGTGGATAGAAAGTATTTGTATTCGTTCTGATCAGCGGTGCCTTGTGAAGGTCATCCCCCAAAAGCTATGTTAGGAGTACGAAACTCATGCGCGCTACCTGAGGATCATACCGAGGATCATACTCAACACCTGAGGCAACATGGGGCGTCAAACCCGAGACGTAAGAAGTCCGAATGGCGGGAATGGTCGAGAGGGGCGCGTCATTGAACAGAGGAAGCTCTTTCATTCGTTGTTCGCGTACGATGGTGATGGTACGGACAATCGAAGGTATAAAAGTACTTTGTCCGCATGATCTGGCACGTTGTTGGGCTGTGGCTTCGCTGTTTGCAAGAACCTGTCGGACGTTGAAGTTCTGCTGAGTGGTTGTGCTACGACTAAACGCATGGCGTTTGAGGATCTCGCTAAACGCAGACCTTAGGCGACGCATTGACTTGAATGTGCAACAGAGCACGGCACAATTAGCTGGCAGGAGCGGTGTATAGGAACGATCCTCAGGCACGGGCTGTCGGCGCCTCAGTCAAGTCTTGCCGCAGGCTAATTGAAGTCTTGTCGCTCCAGCACGGTGCGACGCTTCAGCAAACTCGCGCCGTCCATCGCATCAATGTCTGTAACACGTTCAAGGCCTGTCCTTTGCCCAATCTATGGTGCCCGTTCCCAAGGGCGCTTGTGCTCGATACCGGACTAGGCGTGTCGGGCAGGCATACGAGCCTCGTTTGTTCGCGGGTATCGTAGTCGGGGATCATATTTGATCATCTGGATGCGCGCTCCTCATTTTTCTTCTGGATCCGCCGAGCTACGTACACCTCGAGTGTCTGGCCCTTGGCCGCTGCACGCTGCTCGTACGTTGTCCTCTCTTTCACACTAAGCTTGGCGATTTTCTTCGCCAGTTTCTTAGCACCTTTGTCCCCAGCTACCTCCTCCTTCTTGCCCTTTGACTTTTGGCTCTTTGTAACTTCCTTCCTGGCGTCCCGCTTGCGCTTTTTTACCCTGTTCGCAGACTGCCGTGCTGGCTCGCTGTCGGAGGCCGAGGTAGCGGGCGTGCTGGTACCAGAAGGCGCAGCTGAGGCGTCGGTTGGTGCAGCCGAGCTATCCGAGTCTCCAAGAGTACCAGCGATAGACTCGCCCTTCACAAAAAATCCATATAGGCCACCGCGATTAATGCCCTTCTTCTGGATCTGACTAAGGGTACTCTGCGCAATGGTCAGGTCCTGTCGACGACAGACGTAGATTGAGCATGTACCTCCTGGCCACTTCCAATGTTTTTCAGACTGTCATCGAATGCGCGCATCCACCATTGGTCGTCGGTCGTGTAGGCCGCCTTTTTTTTGCCGAGCCCAAGCTGATCCTGCTTGTGGGCGATGAGTAGGGGCTTTCTGATGCCGCGGCCCTCACCGTCGAGCGAGTGGCCAGAGCCCTGCCATCCCTGCTTGCGCAGATATGCTTCTGCGTTCATTCTCGTGAGATCGTGAGTGAGTGTTGACGGCTGGAGCCGATAGTGCTTTGCTTCCTCCCTCGAACTTTTTTGTGGGGTGATCTTGGCACTCCAGCGGGGCTTGGTAATTAGCTCCACCCTCGATCGCCAACGGATCGTCCGTTCCGTCACCCAGCTTTGATGAAGAGCCTCCTTCATGAGTGTCCATTACGCAGCCCATATGGACGGAACTACTGATATTTCTGGATTACGGGCACTCTAATATTTCCCATTCACGCACTGCTGAGCACGTGCTCACGCTAGCCGCACGGGAGTTGACTTCCGAATCAACCCAACCCTACGAATTCACTCAATCCTCACCCCGTCTACTGTACAATGAGCTCTTCCGTTTGAACCTCGCCATGGCCCAAACTGGAGCTGTTCGATGATCCAGGCCTATCATTCCGTTGCAACAATGACTAGGGGCGTCCCTTCTCCATCGCTTCATACTGTATCGCGGCTCCTTTCACTTGCACAATGAGGACCTTCCAAGTGGGCGTGCGGCGCGCCTCCTTCACACTCACTTCGAGTACGGGCGGCGAGGTATTCAGCTTGAGCTCTTCATGTCTTCCTTTCTCCACCCACTTTCGTTTGTGCTCGACCACCCGTTCGCTAGCAATCGTATCCGCATTCATCATTGGCTTTACCTTAACAGTCATCATGAAGTGGGAACACATCGTTTGGCTCGCAGCGTCGACAGTGGGTGCCTCTCCGCTATTGCAATTTGGGCAAGGCGGCACATTCGACTACCCTGGACTCCGCTTCGCCGCTGACAAGAAGTTCTCTATCACCGTCTTCAGTGACTTACATCTCGGCGAGCGTCAGTATCCATAGTCAGTCTTACCCTCAAACTGTACTAACTACATCCAGCCGCATGGACCGGTGTCGGAAAAGGCCCTGATGCCGACTGGAAGACCATCGGCGTAATGAACTCCGTCCTGAACAGCGAGCATTCGAACATGGTAGTTCTCAACGGTGACCTTACATCCTGCGAATTTGTTGCGCCGGAAAACGTCACCGCCATCATCGATCAAGTCACCGCGCCTCTCGTCGAACGCAACATGCCCTTCGCCGCCACCTTTGGCAACCACGACATGTCCAAGACCTGCAGTACCCGCATCATGTCCGAGCACATGTGGCACAACATCAAGGGCAAGGATGGCAAGAAGCTGTCTTTTACGACCTCCTCAGTGTCCGGTCCGTATGAAAAGATCGGGACAAGCAACTACTACATTCCGATCTACAGCTCGAGTGGAGGTGGCAATCCCCACCTGTCGATGCTGCTCTGGTTTTTCGACAGCAAGGGTGGGCGCGACTTTCAAAAGGCCGATTCCGACGGCAACGATGTGCCAGTTGAGGGCTGGGTTGATGATAAGGTGAGTTCACGATTCTGGATACCTTCAAGCTGGCCCTGCAGAAGGTCCTTGCGGTACTGTTGCTGACGTCCTTCGCAGGTCACAAGCTGGTTCACTCTCACGCGCGACGCCGTCAATCAGCAGCAAGGTCGCGTCATCCCGAGTCTCGCGTTCGTGCACATTCCACCCCACGCCACCCGCGCGTACCAGGACAGCAAGCCAGATGGAACAACTAGACCAGGTCTCAACGAAGAGCTGATCGGTCATCAAGGTGACGTTTGCGACAGCAACAACAACTGCAGTTACTCCGGCGCCGACACGTACTTTATGAAAGCGCTTGTCGAGACTGAAGGCCTCCTGGGTGTCTTTTCTGGGCACGATCATGGCGTAGATTGGTGCATGAAGTGGGCCAAGGAGCTTCCCAACAATTCTCCGGCGAATGGAAACGGCTTGAACCTCTGCTTCAATCGGCACTCGGGCTATGGCGGCTACTCCGACTGGGCTCGTGGAGGTAGACAGATCGTTGTCGAGGAGGCCAAACTTGACGAGATCGAGACGTGGATTCGCCTGGAGGACGGCAGTATCTCCGGTCATGTGACGCTCAACTCTACCTATGGTCAGGATCGCTACCCTACTGTTGCAGCCCTCAAGAGCACAGGCTTGTAGGAAAAGTCAGCCAAAGCATCCGTGAAGGCCTCCAGACTGCTGAACATGATCAGGACTGGGCGTAGAAAGCTCGCAAACTTGGTTGTGGGACAAAGAGATTGAGTCTGTCGCATTTGGGGAGGGTGGAGTGTTTGATATAACCATATACCGACTACCTCCAGGAGTCCGGATAATGATGGTCATTACAAAAGCAAATTTAGCAATCGAACCGGCAATTATCTTCGATCGGTGATGTGCATAGTGTGATGGGTTCACGCTCCCGCGGAACCAGGGGCATGTTCACACGCATGTCACTCACCAACCCAGATGTTGGAGCAACAGCCTACATGCAAAAGATCAGTTGCTGCGATGACCAGACTGATAATTACACTTGCTACCTTCAGCAGTAGGGACTACGGAGTGCGTCACGCGTGAAATATATAGGGACCTAAAAGATGACTCTTCATCATCGTAACTCTAAGCTCAAGGATAGAAGATGTTGGCAAAATAAGGTACATTACTGGTTCTCACGTGCTCTAGAGCAGTAACTCTTGCGTGCTGAGAAACTTCGGTTTCCAAAGACGGCTGACCTGTCAGAAATGGCGATCATTTGCAAAAGACCTGATGAAAAGGCGCATGTTTGACCGGCATCGAGAACTCGAGAACTCAGCATTGCAGACACCTTTGACCTGCGTCATGCAGGACATGCTGAACACCCCAAGCTCGTGAAAACTTGAAGATGCTATCACAAAAGGCGACATTAATGGCTCCAGTCAACTCAAATGAAGTCTATCACCGCACTAGGGATGCATTGAAGAACCTGCAGAGGTAGTCAATGAGTGATTTGAGAGCCCGAACTTAAGTCGTCGCAAGACACATATGGCACTGCTAACGCAGCGATCGGTTTCAATGGACAATAAACTACAGCTCCTCTGCAACGGGAGTCGGTCTGGTGGAAGAAATCCAAGAGATCATATATTCCGGCTTTCTGCAAAGATACGACTAAAAGGCATTGACAGACTCCCATAGTTGATAAATGATAATCTTGGGAGGTCGGTGTTTCCCGCTCTGTCGCCAGGAGAGCCACTCTGATCTTTCGTTTCAAAAGTTCAAAGCACGGCGCGTCCAGAACCTTCCGAAGATGAATGTAGACGCGATGCCCAATGATCGTTGGCGATGGTGTTGTCGTGATAAGTACAAAGCTGCGATTACTTTCAGTCCAACTGCGATTGATCGCCCTTCCAGAAAAGAATTGAGACACGACACCTTTGTCGATGCAGAATTATTTCATTGGTCAGTCACAAATCGACATCGCAGATGGCATGTAGCAAATGGTTACCCGAGCTTGATCTTTTTCACAGGCTTACGAGGCGAACCCAAAAAACTCCATGTCGTCTGTACCCCGGATCGGCACAGTGTGTCCGACGTTCTCAGCATATATACCTTGCACAGATTCGCCATAAACAGTCTTGGTGTAGCCACTCTGAGGATTGTTAAGAGTCGTGCTCTGAGGCTGGCTGTAATTGTAGCCGAAGACACCGGACCACTGTTTCATGGTCTCCTGATAATTCTGAGGAAGAAGTATAGTGTCCGCACTCCCATGATAGATTTGCATCTTGGGACGAGCGCCGGTGTAGTTGAGGTACACTAATTATCGAATCAGCAGGGGTTCTGATATAATGCGACATCGAATGTCAATAGTGCAACTGACTGTTCTTGACAACATCCGTCCAAGCCTCGGGAGTGGCGATGGAGTTCCCTTGAGCGCAGGTGCTGTTCCAGGCATCGACAGCGCCAGATGCAGAGACGAAGCAACCCGCGGGTACGCCAGAGTAGACAATGGCTGCCTTGAAGATATCGGGGTAGGTAGCGGCAAGGACGTTCTGTACAAGCGTCAGCGTATCGCAACACATCAATACCTCCATACGAAGGCTTGGAGTTGATCTCACTGTCATCATAGCACCACTGCTCGATCCAGTCACGAACACCTTCGAAGCATCGGCATTATACTGCGATACAGTCCACGTAGCCATATTTGCAATGGTATTGCTGTCGCCACCTCCGTTATGTGTCAAAGTCGCCTTGCTGCTGACATCCCAGCAGGTCCCGGAGTGAGGCGAGCTAGGGTAGATGACGATGAAGCCGTATTGCTCTGCAAGCGCTGCGTAAGGGCTACCATTATAGTAGGCCTGCGCCGAGCCGGTGCAGTAGTGGACAGCGACGATGACTCCAGGAGAGGCCGCGAGGTTCTTCGGAACGTAGATGTAGAATCCAGCTGCTGTTGTTGCGTTGCCGAATGACGTGACTTGGGAGAGCTGGCCAGGCGTTGGCGCGCGCTTTCCTAGTGTGGCTGCGGCTGCTACCGAGAGGCAGGTAGTGAGAAGTGTGAGGAGGCGCATATCGAATTTTCACAATGAGTGTAATGACCACGGCAAGACTCTAAATGCCTCCAGTCTGCGGGTTGGCGAGGTTATGTACTTTTTCGAGATCAGCCATGTAATCAATGCTTTTACCCCATAATATTAATTCGAAACAAATGTCTCCACTGCGGAAAGTGGCTGAAATGCGTTAGTCATATAAGTTCATCTAATCGGGGAGACGCAATGCGTGTTTCAGACACTCCACCTCGACTTCAGCCGTGATTTTGCCTGATTTCTAAGTTGCTCACTTCGCTTATTTGCTTCCGCCACGCTTTTCTGTTTTCCTTAAGATACGCTCATGAGATGTTTTGCGCCAGAATGGTGTTGCCGACAGATGTATTCCACTGCTGCGACCTGCGGGTGCAGCCCTCTATTGACTAGCCGGCTTTCCCACTTAAAATCCAGGGTCTTTCCTCCCAGAAGTCGTCCTTGATAAGGTCCACATGTGCTACTACAATCGTCGCTTTGCTCCTCTTCTTCCGATCCTTCTCTTTTTGAGTTCGGCTCATCTGCACAGGCCTGCCATTGCCGACTTCTTTGTTTGTGGCAGAAGCGCGTGACTTCTTGGTCGACTCAGACTTTGACATGTCTGTGGACTTGCGTACTTCAAAGCGGACTTCCGACTTAGAGTGAGCGTGCCGACTTGAGCGTGGTGTGTCTTTAGAAGGTAGATTAGGCTGAGCAGTTGCATCGACACCAGACCGCGACCCAGGTACAGTGCTCTGTAACTTATCGTAGAAGTGCGCATACGAGCCCCATTCGCTCGAAGAGGGCACGGGTTGTGATTGTTGGCGTGAGTGACGCGCCGAAGTGGCCGGCAGCTCAGCGATGCCGGGGTGATCATTTTGCTGCCACCCATTGCTGCCGTTCGTTCTGTCACTGTCGCTGACTACTCGTCTTTCGCCGATTGGGGGGCTTGGCAATTGCTTGTTCGTGTTCAAAGGGGTACCGTCTCTTGAAGTCGTCATTACCGCTTGCGCTGGACTGGCAAGGTCCTCTTTCTCGTCTCCGCAGCTCGCCTTCAGATTAGAGTTGGAGCGCAGGTGTTGCAACGATAGTTTGCGCGGCTTCGTATTGGCTGGTATGCTCGATATGCGCAGAGGTATCGACGGAGGCCCAGTAGCCTGACTGCTCGAAGCCAAGTATGTGTGGATCTGCGACAGACTAGGTGAACGGTGCTTGAGTTTGGGCTGAGAAGGCCCTGCAATCGACAATGATGCTGACGCCGAATGAGAGATCGGTATGGATCTGCCGTCTGAGCGGGTACGTTGGGCAAATGAATCAGCGAACTCTGCAGGCGCAGGCATGGGCGAGAAATTTGCACGTGTTGTTGGGTTAGGCGCATCGAGAGACAACGGTGGCTTGGAACTCGGCTTCAAGATCGGCGGCGATAATGGCAGTGGCGTTAGTGATGTGAAGTTTTGCTTGCCCATTGGTGAACTGATGGTGGATGGAGGAGAGATTGGAAAAGAGCTCCGCTGGTAGATCGTGTGTTGAGGGCTGATGGAATTTGACCCTAGCAGATGCGTGTACCCGTCTTCTGGTAATTTCGAAGGTGAAGGTGGTGGCGATGGTGTAGAAGCTGCGGAGAGGAAGGTTGGCCCTGGAGGTGCCGAAGAGATAGACGGGGTCAGCGAATCACCCGGCCTAAATACCTTCGAGTCATCTGCTTGAGACAGTGGCCGCGATGATGTTCGATTCGGCTGCGGACGAGCGTTCACTTCTTTGGCTTCTGTGGCGGCTGCTGGGGTCGATTGCGGGCCATCTGTTGAAGCGAACTGGGCTATCAGCGCTTAGAATTCTGGCACGCGATTATCTTCGAAAACTTACGTCTCGATAGAGGATTGTGCCTTTCTTGAAACACTCAGGCTCATTGTTGTAGTTAATGCCAAATTCTTGGAACAATATCTCGTTCTTGTCCGCAGAGACGGTGCCGGACAGTCTTTGCTCGGCATCTTGAGCGCTCATACCGCCTTTCTGGACAAGCATCCAAAATGTAGTGTTGTAAAGGTTGTTGATGTGGCCTGGAATGTTCAATCACTGCTTCCGGGAGCGAGACGGCGATACTCACAGTCGACCTGTCGCCAGCTCATATAATCTCTCAAGTTTGCATCACTGGGATAGCATACTGCTCGGCCGTCGAACGACGGAAGCGGTGGCGTCAATGGCTCGTTTGGTAAGTATTTCGGCCAGAAGAACACATAGTACGACGTGAAAGTAGAAACAATCGTAGTGGTAAGCTTGCTGCTGCTGTTTTAGTGAGGTCTCGTTGCAGTTTAGACATATCGCACCTTGCTCTCCGTTCGAAGAGCATGCAGTCCTTGTGGAACACGAAACTGGAATCGGTCAGCAGTGCCTCGAGGGGGTTGTCTTTGCATGGCTGCGCACCTGTACTCGTCGCTGTTACCATACGCCATCACTAGATCAGGCAGCTCTCTCATTACGGCCTTGGCCGCTTCATTCATGAGATCCAGCGCGGCCCGGTCATTGGGTTTCTCAAATTTATACTTGGTTGTCAGTCTGCAAGAGTCAGCATGGAGGTCAATGGTATTGATGCCTTCGTGATGCTTTCGGATAATTCCACGGGTACCTGCATCTAGCGGAAAAGCAAAATCTAGACAAGGAAAAAGCGACCTACTTCGAGAATCCACGCCCATCGATCCTCACGACAATCCAGGTATTCGACAGCAGCACGTCTGGCTGCTCGAAAGCGCGCACGTACTCATATCTGACTGTCATTAGCCTCGTCTTCAGCTCGTGCAAGCGTAGTGCAGCTCAATACCCCACCCATTGATGCGAGAAAATGGGCGCTTACTTTGAATTGGCCATTTCACAACGTCTGATAGTCTAGTCTACCTTATGGTAAGAAGCATCGTCTGGGCAGCGTGGGATTAGGCATGAAATCAAGGTATAAGAAAAAGTTGGTCGACTAACAGCCCCATCGGCCTGGTTTTGAGTTTGAGATTCGGTCCGGGGCTAAGGTTGTGAACGTGCTGGGCGACAGCAGGGAGCGTTTCAGATGCAGCTATGCCATACACCTGGAGCTTCCAGGGTCCCTGTGGCTGCTGAAGATCATGCGCGCGCCTCTGAGTGCTTTGCGAATTATGCCGTGTGGTGAAGGTGCCGTGCGTGAAAAGGCTTTCCAAGGCGTGACTCCACAATTGCGGTAGATCGGCACTAGTCGGCCACTCATGCTATCTCAACCCGTCACTTGAACCAAACAACAACAACAACAACAACAATGTCCAAGGTTCACGATGCTGACAGGCAGGCTTGTGCAACCGTCAGCTCGTTCGTGAAGATGCAACACGGCCCGTCGGAACTCTCATGCCGACCGTATTCCTGCCATGCGCTGTCGATCTGGCGCCATCTCAAACACGAGCAACATCAACTTTATCACGTCGACTCAAGGCGGTCTACAGCAGGAGTGCAGCGGTGAATGTCCTATGTATCCTGCCCTGCTGGTATCAACCTCGCTGTCACAAGCTTCTGGCTTGATGCTTGGAGAAGCGGCATACCCCGACGCACGCGGGACACGGGTTCGCGTAAAGCACCAACCGCACTTCGCCATCTTTCCGCACTCCTCTTCACCAGCACCACTGCCGAAAGCTTTGACATACAAGTGGTAAGTTGCATTATTTCCGACAGTGCCCATCGCGCCCAGATCGCCGGCAGTTGACCCACGCTTCGAACCTCAGACCCGGCCTGCGGAATCCCCAGAGCAGTCGAATGATCGCCAGGAATAACTAGATGCGGTATCTTACAGACCCACGTTATGCCTACGAACCAAGGCAGTGTTGGAATGCAACATTGACATCGTCGTTAGTCGACTGGCCGGCAGCTGACAATGCCGTCAATCTCTGTTTGAACGACTCCGCACCATCGCGATTCTCTCCCCTTCTACCCGACACGCGCTCCGGACCACTGTTACAGTGTCATCAACCAGAAGTTGCCAGGTACATGAACCGCCAAAATCGTTGGTGGTACTGACGGGCCGACTGACTCCAGCAGAGCATGACAGCACTCTCGTAAAGCCTGTATGAACAGAGCGGACGACATCCGCAGCCTCCGCATTCGAACCTTGACGTGCCAGTACCATGGTAAGAGTCTTGGGTCTGGCATGAGCCGCGCCAAGCTGGCAGGCGAACTCTCTCGCGTAAAAGTCCACTTGTAGGTGTAAGGCCCCAAAATGCTCAACATCAAACGCTCGTCGAACCTTGTGTCTATTCTAGACTCGACCTCACCTCTCGCCGTCTGCGGATTGATTGCATTCCGTCGCTGTGCAGGAATACTGTGCACTTAACGCTGCACGACATACCAAAGGCGCTTCTCCATTAGATAGGCCCTACTCCTCAGATCCGCAAACTCAGGCTGCATCGGGTTCGTCGTGCGTTCCACGGCATGACAGGCAATCTTCCGTAGCCATCATCGAGGTTACTATCAAGACCAGAAGTGGATCATATCGATGTCATGGCGTATTTAGTACATTGCATCGAATACCTGCTCGCTAGGAAGGACTGTCTGTCTCTGTAGCCACCAGCTAGACTGCACTGACCTGGACTTGATCATGGGTTGGAAGAGCCCGGACCGAGCAATAAGCCTTGCCATAGATTAATCAACATATCGGCCACCGATCTGCCGGTGTCCTTGTACGGTGTCCTGAATGTTTGGCTATCTAGGAGTTCATACGGCTATGTTGAGATGCCGCCTTCTATACTATGAGACAATGGGAAGTTGGACAAGAACATGTACGGCTGTGTCACCGTGATGGGTATGCATTTGGAGACCTCGGCTCACCTCAGCTTCACTTGGATCAGCACCCACATTGGTTGATTCTAATTCCGTACTTCGTATGCTCACCCGTTTGGTAGAAATCATTAGCCCAAGTCAAACGCGGAAGAATTTGAAGAAAGTTGAAGGGATATAAAAGCTCGATTGGATACTGACATTGGATGCCCCTCTACAAAATATACTCCCAGTGACCAAACCTCAGAGACTGACACTGTGTTCTTGCATCGAGTACATGTGCAAGGGTCAATCAGACTAGTGCCAATCAAGCTAGGCTCCCGCCGTTACCTATCGATAGCGGCTGCCCAAAATTTCCACAACACCTTCCAGCCACACCACCTGCACAAACAACACTCACTTCAACAAAACTCACCCCTCATACCACTCCAAACTCGCCCATTATGTCATCCATGCGCAACGCCGTCCAGCGGCGCAATCACAAGGAGCGCGCACAGCCCGAAGAGCGCAAGAAATGGGGTCTGCTCGAGAAGCGCAAGGTATTTGACCCCAAACACTCGCCTATCTGCCTTCCCTCCTAACGTCACAATGTAGGACTACAAGCTGCGCGCAGCGGACCACCGGCAGAAGAAAGCGAAGCTCAAGATCCTCTCCGAGAAAGCACGCGACCGCAACCCCGACGAGTTCTCGTTCAAGATGATGTCTTCGAGCGTTGACAATAAGGGCCGCAAAGTGGCAGACCGCGGCAACGAGGCGCTGAGCATGGATGTGGTGAAGCTCCTTAAAACGCAGGATAGCGCATACATTCGCACGATGCTGCAGCAGGTGCGCCGCGAGCGGCAGAAGCTTGAAGAGCGGTTGGTGCTAGAAGACCAGGAGGTCCGGACACTGAAGGATGGGAGCGAAGAGAAGCAGGGCAAGCACAGGGTATTTGTGGAGAATGAGGAGGAGCAGGAGGAGTTTGATGCAGACAAGTGGTTTGGAGAGGGCAGGGCAATGCCGACGGCGAGCCGGCTGGAGGTTCCTGCTGCATGGGAGGACGACGAGGACGAGGATGATGACGAGGATGACGACGAAGAGGAGGAGCAGAGACCGCAGAAGAAGACGCCATCCGCGAAGAAACTGAGGGAGCAGGCAGAGAAGGTCAAGCAGATGAAGAAGTTTGACAAGACACGGTCACGCGCACAGTCAAGAACAGCGTTTCGACTGCAGATGGTCAAGAAGAAAGAGCGCGAGCTCGTCGCCGCAGAAGAAGAGTTGGAGAAGCAGCGGGCTAAGATGAACAACAGCGTCGGCGGCATCAACAAGAACGGCGTCAAATTCAAGATCAGGGAGCGCAAGCGCTGATTAATGATACCCCTACAACCGCGCCGGCATCCTCATCGCGCCGTCTAACCTCAGCACCGTTCCGTTCAGCATCTGATTTCCCACCACCTCCACCACCAGCCTCGCAAACTCGTCTGGTTCGCCTGCGCGCTTGGGGAACTCCATGCTGCTCTCCAGGCTCTTCTTAACCTTTGCGCTCATCATCTTCGTCATCGCGCTATCAAACATACTCGGCGCAATGGTGACGGCGCGGATACCGTACTTGCTGAGGTCCCTCGCCAGCGGGAGGGTCAGGCTCGCAACCGCACCCTTGGACGCTGCATACGAGACCTGGCCCATCTGGCCGTCGAACGCGGCCGAGGAGGCGATCATGATGATTACACCGCGCTCGCCGTCAGACCCATCGGGCGTGTTGAGTGTCATGTGCGGCAGCGCTTGGCGGATGAGGTCGAGGGTGCCGCGCAGGTTGATGTTGAGCACAAAGTCTATGCTCTCAATGCTCAGCGGCTCGTTTTTCTTGTCGATGATGAGGCCGGGTAGACCGACGCCTGCACCGGCTATCACGCCTCCTATGGGCGCCTGTGTCTCCGCAATCCAGGCCACGGTGCCGCTGATCGCAGAGGCGATGGCATCAGTTGAGGAAACGTCGGTTTCAAAGAATTTGGACCTTGTGCCCAGCTCAGACACGATTTTGGAGCCGTTGTCGCTGTTCAGGTCGAGCAGCGAGACGTAGCCGCCGAGTGAGTGTAGGGCGCGGGCTGTTGCGAGGCCGAGGCCGGACACGCCGCCGCTGATGATGAACGTGCGGCCTTTAACTTTCATGGTGTTGTTGCGATGTTCGACTGGCTGAGAGGGCGTCCGTAGAGGTTAATGCCAAGAAGTGTAGACTCGGATTTCGTGATGTGATACGGAGCAGATCGGTTGCTCTCGCTCGAATGAAAGAAATGTGTCGAGGAGAATGCAAGGAAGGAGATGCAGAGGTGAGGCATGTGGAAACGCCAATTCCGCAGGGCCTCGGCTCACTCATCATCGGCCTTTTCCTGCCAAACCCCCGACATGCACCCATTATCAGATTGCAGATCCCTGTCCCAAATCTCGAACCACCACCGAGCCCACTCCGCAGCACCACCACGACCACATCTGCGCGCCGACACCCAGCCTCGCCACGCCTCGACCCCGCCGTCTCGCGTCCTACCACCAGCGCACCCCGCAGACAGCGGCAATCCACAATGAGCGGCACACCAGGCGCCTCGATGCCGCCGGCGGCCAGCCCGGGGACGGCAGACAGCTACATCATCGGCACCAACACACGGCCGGCGAACCCGACGCCGCTGTCGGCGCCGCAGGAGCAGCAGGTGCGCGACCTGTACTACAAGAACGTGCGGGCCAAGTGCGCGCCGGAGATTGAAGGTAGGCCACGACTGCCAGGACCAAGAACGACGTCTGCTGCCATCTGCTGACATCCCGTTCGCAGCCTTTGCTGCATGCGCGCTCGGCCGCACACTGACCATGATCTACGCCTGTCGCGCGCCGCGGCTCGCGATGAACGCATGCATGCTGCAGTACCAGAACCAGGACGAGCTGGACCGGGCGCGGTCCGAGTGGTTTGAGCTCGCCGAGGAGCGGAAGCGGGCGCGCCGCGAGCACAAGCGGCGGCTGGAGGATGCGCGCGGGAAGCACAAGGAGTGGTGGAATCTGGACGACAGTGGACGGCTGATGGGGAAGAAGGCTGAGGAGGGCGCGGGGAGGAGGGAAGAGAATCGGGTTGATGCTTCGGGGGTCACGAGGGGTGGGGTGTGGGGCGGGACGTGAGGGTTTGCCTGGCTCTGGAGGTGGATTTGCAGCGCCGCGGATAAGGCTGGCGTGCGGATAAGGCTGGTGTGCGGATAAAGCTGGCGTGCGGATAAAGCTGGTGTGCGGATGAAGCTGGTGTGCGGATAAAGCTGGTGTGCGTTGGTTGGAGGCGTGCTGGAACCGCGCAGGATTGGGTGGCCATGTACAGATATCGGCGAATGTACTATATGACGACCGCAAGCACGAGCCACGCGAAGCATCGTCTGCTCGCCGAACAAGCCGGAGATGCAGCGCGGGAACAGCTCTCGTCTTGCATCATTGCTGCGTCGGGTCGAGACATGTACCTCGACGCCACAAGTCGTGAACGTCGTCGGCAACCGCGTGCTGAGCGTCTTGGAGAGGCAAACGCAACCACACACGTGAAAGATGAAATGCGCGCTGCATTGGCAGCCCGGCGATGCGCACAGCGGCTGCACCTAGAAGTGTTTTCCCGACCGGTCATGTCCTGCTCCAAAACGCCATGCAATGCCACAGTGGTCCCTTGTCCGCCCGCCCCCAGCCCAGCGGTCCCTTGTCTGTCCGCCCCCGGCCCAGCGCCTCTCCGACGTGGCGTCGATGGTACACACCGCTCGCTGTCGCGCGTCCGCCCGCCCGCTCACCCCATCACCTCCTGAAACTCATCCTCATCCACGTCCTCCTCATCCATACCGCCCATCTCCGTATCCGCCGCGTCCCCAAACCCATCCGCAGCGCCAACCGGACCCCCCTCGCCCATCGTCTCATCCACATCCTCGACCGCATCCTCGTCCACGTCCTCATCACCCTCCCACGCCTCGCGCACCCCCCACCCCACGCCGGTGAAACAGTACCGCTCAGGCGGCAGCCTCACGCCAAACTCGCGCTCAACGCGCGGCAGCGCAACGCGGTTCCGCTCGCTCGCAATGTCAGCGAGGAACTCCTTGCCGAGGCCCGCAGCGGGACTCATCTGCGCCGCGCGCCCCGCGACACTGGTGCGCAGGGCATTCAGACTCACGCCCTCGTCGGCGGCGGTGTCGCGCTTCTTCTTCTCGCCCGGCGGCAGCGAGGAGGGGACGGGCGGCTCGTAGGCCAGCGCGTCGCTCAGCACGCCTGACGTGTATCTGTACGCGAGGTCGAGGAGCTGGAGTGGGACCCGCTCCGTGTACGCGTGCACGCCCATGTTGGCGAGGAGGAGGTGCATGAGGCGCGCATCGCGGGGGCGTTTTGTTGCGCCTGTGTCGAGGAGTGAGGTTGGGGGGTAGGCGGTGGAGGGCGTTGTGGAGGTTGTGAGCGGGTGCGCGGCGGACTGGGGTTGTGAGTGTGAGGGGGGGGAGTTTGTGTGCGCCGCGCTTGCGGTCGCGGGCGGTGTGGAGATGCCGTTTGTGTCTGGGGTGGGCGACGCCATGGTTGTGCCGTTGTGGTGGTGGAATTGGGTTGTGCGGTCGAGGAGGCCTGTCAGGTCGCGGTTGGTTCGCGTTGCGCGGCTTGGCGGTGCGGCTCTGCGCAGGGATGCTGGAATCCGGGGTGAGAGCGCTAGTGTCTCCAGATGATGTGCCCAGCTTGTCTCCAGATGATGTGCCCAGCTTGTCGCCAGATAATGTGCCCGGCTTGTCTCCAAATAATGTGCCCGGCTTGTCGCCAAATAATGTGCCCGGCTTGTCGCCAAACAATGTGCCCGGCTTGTCGCCAAACAATGTGCCCGGCTTGTCGCGCACCGCACTTGGCCTCAACCTACTGCTCACTCTTCACGCATCCAGGCGACAGGGAGCAGGATGCACACAAACGATACGAGTTGATTACAGGGATATATACTCATCACGCCTTCAGCCCCAGCCCCTCCACATGCCCCTCATCAGCCACGTCCTCGTCGCCCGTGGCCTCGCTGGCAATGCTCTCGTGCAGACTCGGCGTCTTGTCCTTCCTGCCAATGCGCTTGATGCTGCCCCAGCCCAGCAGGCCGCCCTTGTCCTTGGGCGTGCCCAGACTCGGGGAGTTGTGGTTGCTGCCATCGACGCTCTTGCCGAAGAAGCCGCTGGAGCCGTCGAGCTCGTCCGCCGCGTCGGGCGTGCCGGGCACCTCGCCCTTTTTGGCGAACAGCGGGTTCTTCTTGCCAAACGAGAGGAACTGCGACGTGCTGCCCTTGCGCGTGAGCTTCTGCATGAACGACTCCTTGCCGACGGAGCCCGTGTGGTCCGACGTGGCCTGGGAGACGCTGCGCTCGAGGGATTCGCGCGGCGAAGCTTCCGAGGCGTCGGCGGTGGAGATGATGGACGGCGTGTCGCGGGATGGGCGGGGGAAGGGCTCGTGCGGAGACGCGGGGTGGCTGCCGTCGGCGGAGGGGTCGAAGGCGACTTGCTTCTCCTTTTCTTTGCCCTTGCACCTCTCCGCCTTGGTCTTCTCCTTCTTCTCGGCCTTTTCCGCGCGCTTGGCTTCCTTCTCCGCGGCGCGCTTCGCTTTCTCCTCCTCCGACTTCTTACCGAGCCCGAGCGTCAGGGTAAAGGCCGCTGCCGCCGGATTGAGCGCGGTGGGCGGCGTTCCTGGCAGGGGGGGAATGTCTCGGGGCAGGGGGGCAATGTCTCGGGGCAGGGGGGGAATGTCTCGGGGCAGGGGGGCAATGTCTCGGGGCAGGGGGGGAATGTCTCGGGGCATGTGGGATGCAGACGACTGTGGCCGTGTGCCAATCGGCGCCTGCATGGGCGAGCGAACGTTGGAGGGAAAGTCCAGGATGTCGTCGTGCATCGAGTCTTCATTCACGGCCAGGTTCGTGGTCGAGCCGTGCTGCACAGAGGGGCGGCGCGATGGCATCCTCGACCACGACGAGGTGTTTGTGTTGTTGACGCTCCAGTCGACGCCAAGCGGACTGCTTCTGGCGCCAAACGCGTCGACGCCCCAGCCGAACCTCGTCTGACTCTCGGTAGAGGGACGAGGCAGAACCATGCCCTCGCCCGACTTGGTGGAGCCCTGACGGGGCGAGGACGGTCGCTCCGTTCCTAGCACGGACGTCAGCCAAGGGTCGTTCCTGGTGCCAAACATGTTGAACGTGCGCTTGCGCGTCGGCACATGAGCTTTTGGACTGCTCGACGCTTCCGCGGGCTGGGTCTTTGTTCGGATAAACGAGTCGTACCAGGCGCCCTCGGTGCTGCCGCGGCGACGCGATGAGCCCACAGCGTCGAGGCCAAACTCTTGCCGGGGCAGCGACTGGCTCTGGGAAGGCTTCAGAGAGCCCAGCGCAGGGCCCTGGCCAGAAATGGTCTTGCCCCGCTGCCTGTTCAATCCAAACAGTCCGCCAAACCTGCTCTGGGAGTTCATAAACGAGCTCGAGGACGACTGTATCGAGCGCTTGTCGGGGTCAATGTTTTCGGGATTCGGGAAGAACTGGAGCGGGCCGCTCTCGCGCGGACTGGCCAAGACACTGGGCGACGGACTCTCGGGCGGCGAGACGGGCGTGTGCTGGTCGCTGGGCGGGTTGGCGTGCCCGAGAGCGCCAAGCCCAGGGAGGACATTGCGCGTGTTCGGCGAGGGCTCGAGCGAGTACAGTCTGGGTGGGCCGATGAGATCGTCATGTTCGCTGTCGGTCAGGCCTAGGTCGTCGCCAAAGAGACCAGCCGGGAGCAGTGCGCCGGCAGTGGGACTCATCGGTGCACCGCCGGTCAGTGACTCGAGATCAGCCTGAGACATTTGCGAGAAGGAGATGGTGTGTCCGTGGCCGCGGGGAGGCAGCGCCATGCCGTTTACAGGATTGAAGTAGGGCGTGACAGAGGCAAACGGCGGCGAGGAAGACACCGTCATGCTGTTAAAGGGCGCCGAAGACGTCTGCACGAAGCCGCCGGGAGCACTGAGCATGCCTTCGCGCATGCTCAGAGGGCGCTGGCGCTGGCCGGTCCCCCTGGCCGGGCCAACTCGCGGCACGGCTGGGTCGTCGTAGAGCTGCGGCTGGCTCAGGCGGCGCTGCTGCAAGTACTGCAGCCTGTTGGTAGCTTCCTGATTGGCGCGGTCTGCCTCGGTGAACAGCTGCCAGGCCTGGGCGTACTGCTGCTGCAACAGGCCCAGGGTCATCTTCCAGCGGTTGTCCTCTTCGCGCTCGGCGTTGTCGGTGCCATCCGGAGCTTCGCCGCCGTCCTGGCCGTCCTCGAGCTGCTTCCTCTCCTCCTCCAGGGCTTTGATCTGGATTCCCTTTTCGCGGATGGCGTCCTCGAGCAGCTTGTTGGCCTGCGTTTCCTCCTCGTACCTGTCCTTGGCGTCCTGGATGCGCTTCTGCGACGCCTCCTTGTACGCCTCCTGCTCTTCCCTCATCTTGGCGGCAGTCGCACGGAGCTCGACAGACTCGCGGGACCACTTGGCCGTGTCGTCCTTTAGCTTCTTCCGCTCGGCCTCCTTCTGGCGGAAGAGTCTCTCCTGGTGGGTGCGGCGCGTCTGTGCGGCAGCGCTCTGGCGCTCGAGGGTCGCGACCTCCTTGCGCAGGTCGCGGCTGGCGTCCTCCTTCTCCTTCAGGGCCGCCTTCTTCTCGTCCCGCCGGTCGACCAGGACGAGCCGCTGGGTGACGGCGTCCTGGTCCTCGTCCTGGATCTGGCGGTCCATGTCGTCGAGGTCGCGGCGCAGCGCGTCCAGCTTCTCCGTCAGGGCGCGGATGGAATCGCTCGAGTCGGTCGCGGCGCGCGCGTCGTCTGCCGTCTGCGAGGCGGGCGACGATCGGCGCGCGATGCCCGGCCTCTGGCGGGCCGTGCTGTTGCTGTGCTCGCGGCTCATGAGCGGCGCAGCAAACGGCGTGGCGACGTCGGCGAGCGACTTGTTCGGGCGGACCACGGGGGGCGGGTTGGCGTCGTCGTCGTCGGTGGCAGGGCCGTGGGCGGCGGGCGGGGCGGCGGCATAGTGCTGGTCCGAGTCGGCGGGCAGCGTGCGCAGGCGGATGGGCGCGCTGGGGGCCTGGAAGTTGGACGAGTTGAAGGTGACGACGCGGATGGTGTAGTGGCGGGCCGGCTGCAGGTTCTCAATGGTGGCCGACGTGTCGTGCGGGGCGACATGGCCGACGTCGATGCCGTTGATGCGGATCACGTACCGCAGCACCGAGGCGCGCTCGGGCGACTTCCAGTGCAGCAGCACGCCGTCGGCCTTGATGCCGGCGAGCGAGACGAGCGGCGCGACGGGGACCTCGAGGCCGAGCACGTGCACAAGTGTCTCGACGGGCTGCGAGAGGACCTGGTAGGCGCGGACGGCGACCCAGAAGAGCGCGAGCACGATGCAGGTGGTGCGCAGCCAGCCGGACGACGAGAACAGCAGCGTCTCCATGTCGTAGCGCGCCACGTCCGGCGGCCAGTACAGCGACGCGGCAGGGTCGGAGAACATGCCGGCGTCTCTACAACATGCGACAGCAGTCGCTCGTCTGTCGGCTCTGGGGGCGTTGTGGGTTGCAGACGGGAAGACGTGGAGACGTGGACGTGGAGATGTGAAGACGTGGATGTGGAGATGTGAAGACGGAGGACGCGAAGATGTGAAGACGGAGGACGCGGGGATGTGAAGACGGAGGACGCGAAGATGTGAAGACGGAAGTGTGAAGACGGAAGACGTGAAGGCGTGAAGATGTCAAGATGTGAAGACGTGAAAATGTGAACATGTCAAGATGCGAAGATGCACAAGCGGGCCGGCTCCCTCAGCGGCGCAGCACGCTTGGCCTGCAGGGCATCTCCACATGGAGCCGCCTGGCAGCTACCGGTAGCGGGGTGGCGGCGCCAGATTCTGTGCATGACGGGCTTGAGAGTACGACTGGTACTCGTAGAGCCTCGTGGATGCTCCCAGAGATGGCCCTAGAGTGCTGGTAGAGTGCAGTCGGACAATCTCCACGCCAGGGACACTCGCCTGCAGCCCGAGCCAGTAGGCAGCGCGTCGTCACCACGCCCGCAGAGCCGTGGTGGAGCAGTTGAGCTCAACGCATCTGGTGTCTGCTGCAGCCTTGGTTGGCATGTGAAAAGCACACATTTTGCATGCACCAAACTCGGCTCGTCCACTACCAGACCCTTCACGATGCTCTGAAAGCACGGGACTCGACATTGCTTTGAAAGCACGGGACTTGACATTGCTTTGAAAACACGGGACTCGACATTGCTCTGAAAGCACGGGACTGGACAGTGATTGCTGGGTCCGCTTTGCTTCCGGCACATCTCGCACCTGACCTCCACCGGCGTTCCTCGGTCGCTGCTAGGCAGTCGACGAGAGCTGACCTCGCTCCGTCATACTCGCACGCTCCTCCCCCCAACGCCGACTTAGCCGTGACGGCGCAGACCAGGCCGCGCATGTGAAGAAACTCGGCTGCGTCTAGACGGTCGTCTACAGGGCACAGCGCCACGAGACTCGACATCCACCATTGCTGCGAGACTCGACATCGACCATTGCCGCGAGACTCGACATCCACCATTGCCGCGGGACTCGACATCGACCGTCGCCGCGAGACTCGACACACCCGCCATGAACTACGTGCGCTCCATCGCCGGCGGCGTGTCCAAGGGCTGGAACTCAATCAACCCGGCCACGCTGAGCGGCGCCATTGACACCATCGTCGTCGAGCGCGACGATGGCACCATGGCCTGCTCGCCCTTCCACGTCCGCTTCGGCAAGTACCAGATCCTGCGGCCCTCGGACAAAAAGGTCGAGTTCCGCGTCAACGGCGAGCTGCAGGACTACTCGATGAAGCTCGGCGAGGGCGGCGAGGCCTTCTTCGTCTTCGAGACGTCGGCCAGCATTCCCGTCGGCATGCAGACGTCGCCGCTGGCCTCGCCCACCGCCAGCCCCGAGCAGAAGCCCGTCGAGACGCCGCCGAACCAGATGCTCGACGACCCCGAGCCGCTCGATCTCGCGAGCCTCGACTCGACCCTGCGCCGCAGAGGCCGCCTGTCCATGTCGGTCCCGCCGTCGGACGCGCAGTACAACGAGGCCGACTTTGAGCGCCCAAAGTCGGGCGACTGGTCGGGCTTCCATGTGCAGCGCGCCAGCACGGACACGGTCGTCGCCCCCGAGACGGACGCCTTCCCCGCACACGTCGACGGCGGCAAAGAGCACGGCCCGCTCGAGATCAGCAGGGAGGATGCCACGAGGTGGAACCGCTCCGCGCGCTCGGCCAGCCCGCCGCCCGTCTCGCAAGCCGAGGCGCTCGCCCGCGCCATCAAGCTCTCGCGCAAGCTGTACTCGTCCAACATACCCAACAAGGTCACCGACAACGGCGATCTCGAGCTCGACATGACGGGCTACAAGAGCAGCGAGCAGGACGCGCTGCGGGCAGAGGTCCTTGCCAGGAACATTCTGTCCGACGAGCTGGCTGGCGACTACGACATTGGTGCCCTGATAGGGGCCGACGAGAACGGCAACCTCTGGATCTACAGCAGCGAGGACGCCAAGGCCGCCGCCATGCAGAAGATGGCCCAGAGCGTCTTCAGCGAACCCTCGCTGGACGCCGTCTCGGACCCGGGCTACCAGAGCGACAGCGGCGTCAGCGACGCCACGGCAGACTTTCCCCTGCACAGGCGCAACGACTCGGACAGCGCCCTGGGCCTCTCTGCCCCCCACTCGCCCGCCGAGCAGCACCAGAAGAAGGCCGAGACGCGCAACTACGCAAAGACGCTGCGGCTCACGTCGGACCAGCTGAAAGCGCTCAACCTGAAGCCCGGCCAGAACACCATGTCCTTTACGGTGAATCGCTCAAAGTGCGAGGCCTACATGTTCTACTGGCAGCACGACGTGCCGATTGTCATCTCCGACATTGACGGCACCATTACAAAGTCGGACGCCCTGGGCCACGTCCTGAACATGATTGGTCGCGACTGGACGCACAAGGGCGTCGCCAAGCTGTACACGGACATTGTGAACAACGGCTACAACATCTTCTACCTCACTTCACGCTCCGTCGGCCAAGCCGACACCACCCGCGCCTACCTCAACGGCGTCGTCCAGGAAGACCACAAGCTGCCGCGGGGGCCCGTCATCATGAGCCCGGACCGCACAATCGCCGCCCTGCGCCGCGAAGTCTACCTCCGCAAGCCCGAGGTCTTCAAAATGGCCTGTCTGCGCGACATCATGCAGCTCTTCGACAAGCCCGCCGGCCAGACGCCCTTTTACGCCGGCTTCGGCAACCGCTTCACAGACGCCCTGTCCTACCGCAGCGTCAACATCCCCAGCACCCGCATCTTCACCATCAACTCCAACGCCGAAGTCAGCCTCGACGTTCTCTCCCTCAACAGCTACAAGACGGGCTACGCGTCCATGCGCGAGATTGTCGACCACTTCTTCCCCCCCGTCGGCCTGCTCGTCCCCGCAGGCGGCGAGAACTTTACAGACTTCAACTACTGGCGCGACAAGCCCCTCGACATGGACGACTTCACCGACTCGGAGGACGACTCCGATGACGACCAGACCGAGGCCGGCTCCTACCGCAGCGAAGACGAGGGCGACGTCGGCGAGGATCTGGAGGCGAGCTACATGACAAACGAGAGCGTCGACGGCGAGGACCTGGGGGAGAGCGTCGACGGCGAGGATCCAGAGGAGAGCGTCGACGCCGGGCATCTGGGGGCGAGCTACATGGCAAACGAGAGCGGCGACGACGAGCATCTGGAGGCGAGCTACATGGCAAACGAGAGCGGCGACGGCGAGCACCTAGAGGCGAGCTACACGGCAAACGAGAGCGGCGACGACGAGGGCGCCATGGAGCACAGCATCCTCGAGACCATCGAAGGGAGCGACGGGGAGTATCGAGGCGAGCATGTGGACGCGCCCTACGATCCGCAGAATCTCGATGGCGTCCATGGTGGCGAGGACGACGAAGAGTACAGTGAAGATGAGACGGAGATTGGAGACGCGACCCCGGCCATTGCCCAGAAAGACCTCGCAAGACCACACACCCCGGACCCGCATCTGCGTCGGAAACACAGCGTCCCCGAGATCAGCAAGCGCATGGCCGAGCGCGCCGCCGAGCGCATGAGCAAGCTCGATATCAGAGACGGCATCAGAGACGGCACCAGAGACGGCACCAGAGACGGCACCAGAGACGGCACCAGAGACGGCACCAGAGACGGCATCAGAGACGGCATCAGAGACGACGGGTCCACGCCCACGGCCAGCCCCAGGCGGTAGTCGGCTCCAATCTGGCCCCATGGTGGCCGTTCGCGCCCGTTTGCGCCAAGTGGACGCCAGTGTAGAAAAGTAAGGAAGAGACGAGATTAGTGCAGCAGCGAGAGTGTGTCCGTTTTTCTTTTGCATAGCATACTGGCGTTTTGGACGGTCTCATTTCACACCATCATGTCACCGCATCTTGCGCGTCGCATAGCGCGATGCGTATCCAATCAATCAATCAATCAATTAGTCAATCAGCATCATTCACTCACCATCCCATCCTCCTTTTCTCACCCTGTCGCAGCCATTGGCAACCCGCCTCGTTGAATGCGGGCAATCTGCGTTGCACTGTTCATCAGGCTGGCCGTGGAGGTCATGATGGTTGCGGTGCAGTCCACGTGAAGCATGATGGTTGCGGCGCAGTCCACGTAAAGCATGATGATTGCGGCGCAGTCCACGTGAAGCATGATGGTTGCGGTGCAGTCCACGTAAAGCATGACCAGGAGCGCTGCAATCTTGCGTGAACCTCCCTCCATCTCACCCGTCGGTCTTTACTCTAGCACGCCGCATCATGCGTATCCATCTCCTCGTCCCATCATTTTCTTCTGTCTCGCGGTCATGACTTTGCTGTCCGTTTTGGAGCTGCTGAGAGCCTTGATGGACTCGAGAATCTTGGATAGAGGAGCATGGCATGCGTGCATGCTTACAAGTATAGTCGACTTGTAATTACAGTCGACTTGTAATGATAGTCAACTTGTAATTACAGTCAACTTGTAATTACAGTCAACTCATAATGATAGTCACCTCATAATGATGGTCACCTCATAATGATAGTCAACTTATAATTACAGCCAGCAACCGACTTACGACCCTGCGAATGATGACTCTAGGTCTGTGGCGAAATAGCCGGCCAGAGAAATACCAGTGCCGTCGCGTTGGACTCAATGTCAAACCTCTCTTGTACAGGACCTTGGAAAGCTGGTCCGGAACTCTGCAAACGTCAAATTTCAACATGCACATCCATGCTTTGCTTTGTAACGTCGTTGTGTTCTCGCACTGTGGTCTACGACTGCATTGCCCTGCTCGCTCTACAACAACACCACCTCGTGTCCCTAGCAGTATCAGGTCCTCCCTGCTACGACGCCCCCCCGTTCAGACTCTACCGTACAGCCAACGGAAAAGCATTGATCGAAATTCTCTAGTCCCGAAGCATCATCATAAAGGTGGGCCACACGTAGACCCACATAAATCACAATGGTGCGTGGAGCGCCAGTAAGACCCAGCATCTCAGCATCGGACCTGCTGGCTATGAAGCGACTTGCCGGCGCCGAATTGCAGAAGTGGACACACCCATGGACAGGGAAGGAGCTAGTCAAGGTGCTTTGTGGAGTTGATTTGCATAAATACTATCCAAGGACTACTAATCCCAGCCATCGGCCGCAGAGCGATGCAAACAAATGCCAATCAACCTGATTGCAGTGAATGAGAAGTGGGGACTTGATTTCCGAGCAGAAAGCCTCCGTTGAGACGGTTTGTTGCAGTCGCTAGTAGACGTAGAAGACCATGGTCTCCGGGTTGCTCTGCCTCATCTTCCTGTTCTTATGCTGCAGGCTGAAGCGCATCAACCACACGGCGGCGATGGCCACGAACGAGAACGAGATACTCGCCATCCACGCCTTGAGGAACCGGGGGTTGTCGGTCGACGGCCACAGGTACGGCGTGTAGATGCTGCTCATGTTACCCAGCGAGTTGCACAGCGCGAGCGCAACGGCCTTCTTCTCGGGCGTCTGGCCCAGCGTCACGCTCGTCCAGCCCAGCATGATGTTGTTGATGCCGAACGAGAATGTGACGAAGATGAAGATGGCGACGAAGCGGGCGGGGACGTTGGTGGTTACGGCGGGAATGATGAAGCCGGCGATGATGATGGATTTGCAGATGGTGATGTGCCAGGTGCGCTCGTTGTAGCGTCCGGAGGTGTAAGACATGATGATGGCCATTGCAGCGGCCAGGAGGTAGGGCGGGCAGGTCAGCGCAAGCGTGACCGTGGTGCTGTATCCGAGCGTCTTGACGACAGTGGGCAGGAACGACTGGAAGCTGACGGACGAGATGTGGGTGTTGTACATCAGGCAGAAGACCCATGTGCGCCAGTCGGCCAGAGCCTGGCGCAGACCGACCCACACACTGGTAGCCTCCTCACGCTGAGTGGTGTCGGCGGCGATGCGCTTGTGAGCGAGTTGCCTCTCGGATTCGCTGAGCCAGCGGGTCTGCAGGGGGTGGTCGGGAAGCATGAAGAAGGAAATGCATGCAATGCCAATGGAGAGAGCGCCCTGGATGAGGAAGAGCCTGGTTGGGAGTGATCAGTGTTGCGACGAGCACAAAATCGACGAGGACTTACCAGCGCCAACCTGCGAGACCATGGGTGCCATCAAGCCCGGCGAAGACACCAGCAGCAATCAGACCGGCGAAACTCGAAGCAATCATATTGCCAGTGTAGAAGATAGCCATGCGGGTGGCGATCTCCTTCTTGGTGTAGAACAGCGACAAGAGGAAAAGAGCACCGGGGTAGAACTGTCGATCTAGTCAGTTGCTGCGCCTCATAGCGATAGTTTGTTGTACTTACGGGAGCTTCCGTGACGCCGAGCATAAAGCGACAGGCCAGCATACTGCCAAAATCATTGGCCAAGAAGGTCAAGAGGCAGACTATTGACCAGGCCATGCAGAAGCCACCCAAGTACCATGACGGGCGCACTCGGTTAAGAATCATGTTGGACGGAATCTGCCCGGCGATGTAGCCCACGAACAGGATGGAGATTAGTGTGTTGTACTGTGTACCCTTGAGGCCAAGATCTTTCTCTAACGAGTTGAGTTTGGCGTTGACAAGGGCGTTGCGGTCCAGGAAGTTGAAGAAGTACATGATCCAAAGCATAGGCTGTTAGTTGAATTAGCAGTTGCATTAGATGTCCTTGCATTCTGTCACTTACGAGGATGGTGCGATCGAGCTTCTTAACAAGAGCAATCTCCTCGGGATTGGTTTTGCTGCGAGCGCCGAAAGCGTCAAGATCCGCATCTGCCTCTACCTTGGCCAGAGAAAGATCTTCATGAGTATCGACGCGTTCCACATAATTCGCGTCTACGATATCCTTCTTCTCGTTGGCGGCGGTCACGCCGTGTGCTGGGGCGTGGTTGATGATGGCCATGTTCCCGCGATATCAGAAGGCTGGGTACTGTGAAGGAGCCTGACAAGGGTTGGAATGAACGTCGATCAGCGTGGTCTCATCATCTTATAGGGGTTTGATCGACCAATACCTTCGAGCCTCAAACTGCCCCCCAAGCCTAGCCTAGACGCAGCTATCCAGTCTGGGGCTCTTGATCCGGCATAGTGGCTTGAGATGTCTTGGTGTTGAGTCGTCTGCTGCAAAGCTATGCCTTTTATGACTAGACACCTCGTGCTACCCCAGACCATCCCCCGCATACCAAGTAGATCCCCCCACGCGACCCCGGACTAAGACTCCCAGATCAATGGATTGTCTAGAACAATACGAACTGCCCAATCACAATCCAAATCCAGACTTTGCAGCTGCAACAGATCGGCGGAGACGCCGAACACGGTCCCACACCGATGACAGAGATGCTCAGTGGACCTCGTCTTTGTGTTGAGGCCGAGCCACTTGTATTCCTAGCGGAGGTCTTGGCCTACGGCAAGTGAAGGCGGTCCTCGGGCGGACTCCGGGACTCATGTATAGGCCCTGCACACATTTCCAAAAATTGTCCAATTACATTCCTGCACAGCAATCCCAGTTACGGTCTGTCTGAACCTCGTGTCATTGCCCTCGCAACGCGGCACGTGGGCAGGCCGTGGGGGTTCACACAATGGTTGAAAGCCAAGCCCGCAGTGCTTCTATTGTGGCGGAGCTTGCGCAACAATAAAAAGGCCAATCGAGAGTCAAGACCAGTTGTGGCCAAGACGTGGAGGAATGAGGGGAAGGGGCCCAGTGCCGGCAGGTTACGAACTGATATCCGAGGGACGGCGAGAAAAGCTCAAGAGGGAGTCGAGGGAAAGGGCGGAGCATTAGAAAAAAATCGTCAATCGAGCCGTGGCATTATTGCGATGAGAAGACAAGCTCTTGATGCCGGATGTGCTCTTGTACTCTAACGGGCGGGCGTGGTCGACGCCACGACTTCATGACCGCCAGCTCGTGGATCCGAGATCTTCGCACAGTACGTCTGTACCGGCACAATACCGCCACTCCTATCGGGCGCCGCTCTCCAGCTCACCTCCCTTGTTCTCGCCAGGCTCTCCAGTTCATCCAGTCTGTTGAGCGTTGCCTTCAAATGCTCTTCGAAGCCCTCCTCATTGCAGATCTCGCGGAAAGCGTTCTGCATTGGCACTGAGTCTGCACGCACCATGCCCCATGCATCGATGTGGATGACATTTATGTGGTCGAACGGCCTTACGAAGTCGGCACGTGTGATTATCTGGCGCGCCTCGTGAAGTGGAATCTCAGGGAGCACACCGTCTGGGTCTGCAAGCTCTTTCTCGCGACTTACGAGAGCGCGAGCTAGCACGATAGCTGCAGCACAGAACTTCTGCTCCTCTTCGACATCATCGTCCATCGAATCGCCGAGGATCCAACACTGGTTCAGGAACCACGACTTTTCTCGCCTGTTGATATTTGCGCATATTTGCAGCATGTCGTCAGACTTTGCAACTTGGTTCAGGAAGATGAGTCGGCCGCCAACTTTTGCGAAGACCTCCTCGAGGATGCTTTGCGGTACGTGCTCGTTGTGGTACTTGGCGCGATACTTTCTGAGGGATTCAATGACCAAATCTTTGCGAACGTCTCGGATGTTCATGACGTGCATGTTGGTGGCATGCGGTATCAGCCGCTCCATCGTCCAGTGCTCATCCGATGTGAAGACGACGGTGACCAGCTCATTGCTTGACCAGATCTCCGCTCGCTGCTGCAGGATTTCTAGCAAGTCGCGGCCTTGATCATCGTCCTTGCAGAGATGGATGTTGTTAATGACCATGAGCAGAGGCTTGCCACGACGCTTCCTCATCGAAAGCGCGACTTTCTCCAACTGGTTCAACGCTCTCTCAATGTCGAGGAGCGGCGTGCTGTCTCGCGGCCCTCTGATACTGAACAGCCCTCCAATGTAGTCTTCGTGGAACTCGTAGTCGATCGACTTGCCCAGCCGCGTCCTAAATACTTCCAGCTCGCTGTGTGCCTCGAGCATAGCTACACCGTCTCCATGGACCTGGCGCATAGCCTCGATGAGCAAGGCTCGCTTCCCTGTGCCTCTCTCGCCGATAATGAGGTAGTATTTGCCGCGGGTTTTACCGCTTACTATGTCGTTGACCTGCTCCTGCTCGTCTCTCGGCACCCAAAACTCCTTCTCCACAATCTCCTGGATCTTGTCCGGGTTGGCACCATAGGCGATACGGCCTAGCGCAACGCGCTCTTGCGAGCTGTAGCCCTTCGAGAAGGCATTCTCGATCTTGCTTCTGACAGTCTCCTTATAGAACAAGCTATATCCATAACCGCCAAGAGCTAGGCCTAGCAACGAAATAAGGGCTACGGTGCTACCCTCAAGAACGCTGCGTGCGAACTTGCTCCGCTCCTGCTTGTCGTGAGCGTTGTTTCCAGCCTTGTGGTTGTGCTCTGTCGGTCGTTCGGCGGTCGAAGGTGGCTGTCGAAGCAGAGAGGGTTGGAACCTAGCAGGGCGCCTGCTAAGGGGCAACAGAAGCCATCCTGCACCTTCTTGTCAGCAACATCATCCTACTTATTGTCCTATATCACAAACCTCGCGTGAGACTTCTTATAGGACGTGGCATTTGTGGCTTGAGTCTTTTGCGCTCACACGGGCGAGCTTGAAGGCGAAACGTGTCGTGACATTGTGCAGCAGACAAATGCCCAGAAATCTTGCTTTAGCTAAGCTTCAGATTTGCCGTTCTTCCGTGATCAAACAGCATCTTGCAAAGAAAGAAGGGCAAGTGAAGGTAAAACTTCGAAGACCTCGCACTATACACTGAGGCGTTATTAAATCTGTATGTTGCTATTTTGGGCGGCTTGGACCAAGGGACCCTGAATCAATTGGCGGATGAGCTAGCGTCCAACGTTGCCTTCTGGAGTTGACTCAACGACAGGACGTCCCTGCCACCAGCACGTCATGCCACTCAAACGAAGAGGACCGGAGCCGGTGAATACGCAAAATTGTGGGGTGACCAGCACGCATGGTGGGGAGACCTCCAGCGCGACGACAAAAGCGAGAAGGTAACGCTCCTGTCTAACTTGATGTCGCCTAAGGCAAGTGTAGATCTCAGAAGGGTCCAGCACATGCGCGGTCTTCGGCGCTGCCAAGCTGTCCGCAAAGGGCAGGCCAAAGCGCATGATCACCAGGCCTCAGCTCTCGATATGAATTCCTGAGCTCTGTGTTTGCCCCTCATGGCATTCGCTCCTCCGTATCTTCAATCGTAATTGCGTACGATATGAGTTCTGTGTCGAGTGCCTCGACGGGCACCACGATCGACCCCAGCCAGTACCCCGCCGAACGACAACCTCAGAACAAGTCTCCGAAAACGCTCCTTTACCGTCTTTACATCTCCCACACTCTTTCGACTTGGAATGCGCGAACCTTTGAATTCGGCGCAGTCATTTTCCTTGCCGCCATCTTTCCTGGAACTTTATTTTTTGCATCTTGTTATGCGCTGTTCAGATCGGCCGTCGCCGCAGCCCTCGGGCCCTGGGTTGGCAGCTTAGTCGACAGCAAGAACCGCCTTCATGTAGTGCGCCAAAGTATCGTATGGCAGAGGATTTCCGTCGCTTTGTCATGTCTTCTTCTTGTTGCGCTGCTGGCCGGCAATCCCCAAAATGGCTGGATCCTCTACGGGCTTTTCGCTGCAATTGTCGCGCTAGCAGGTGTGGAGAAGCTGGCCTTCGTCGCCAACACCGTAGCCGTCGAAAGAGATTGGATTATCGTGGTCTCTGACAATTTGGGTGTCGAGAGACAAGAGCTGAACAGTGCAATGCGCCGGATTGATCTGATTTGTAAACTCATCGCACCCCTCGGCATCGGTCTTTTGGACGGATACTCCACGAAAGTCGCCATATGGGTCGTCTTCGGCCAGAATGCCATCAGCGTGCTCGCCGAATACTTCGCCATCGCGCAAGTCTACTCGGCGATTCCTGAGCTCGGACAAGGGAAACAGCAAAACGCCACTGAAACACCACGATCACCCGGTGGGACACCCATCGTCCCGTCCCGCTCCACACTGAATACTATCAAAGACAACGTTCGCCCATGGAAAGAATACTTCCAAAACCCCGCCTTCCTGGCATCCTTTTCTCTATCATTGCTATACCTTACGGTCCTGAGCTTCGCCTCTCAGATGACTACGTATCTCCTAACTGTCGGTTTCACCAGCACCCACGTATCTATCATGCGTCTTATCGCCGTCATCCTCGAGCTCAGCGCTACATGCGCTGCACCATTGCTCATGTCCAGGATTGGCGCTGTGCGCTCTGGCCTTTGGTTTATCAACGAGCAGCTCTTCTCCATCATCGCTGCGATCAGCTTTTTCGCGGCCACCACTTCCTCAACCAATCTCAAACTCGCCGGCCTCGCACTCGTTGCCGGTGTCTGTTTGTCTCGTCTTGGCCTCTGGGGCTTCGATCTCTGCGTGCAGTATCTGGTGCAAGAAGATGCACCTGAGGCGACACGCGGCTCATTCAGCGCAATCGAGATGTCGCTGCAGAACTTCTTCGAGCTGCTGAGCTTCGCGACAACGATGATCTTTTATCGACCAGAAGACTTCAAATACCCCGTGTACATAAGCGCAGGCGCCATAGCGCTGAGTGCGGCGTGCTTTGCGGGCTTCGTGAGGCAGAAGCGAGGACACTTGCTGCACACAAGCAAGTGCCTGAAAAGGTTTGGCAAGAGCGGTCGATATCAGATCCTGCCGACCATCGAGGAAGAAGTAGAATTAGAAGTCAACATCGTCGAAGAAAGACGCTCATAGATACCCAATCAATTCCTCTATCCCCATGACCTTGCACAAATCCACCTCCTCTCAAGCAAGCACCTAATGCCCCCCCCCCCCCCCCCCACATTCCCATTCCCAATCTATCTAACACACCTGATCTGTCCCTATTTCCACCTCTCAAAATTATGCTCCGTACTCCTCAGCTAATAACCTGCACGTCAGTCCTTTGACTCCTTGTGCTCACGTCCGTCCTCCTGCTCCTCGCTGCAATGCTCTTCACTTTCTCTTCCGCCTCTGCATCTCTTCCATCCCTCAGCCCCTGGGCAAGCCACCCTCTATCACCGCCAGCCTCTCTGCCTTTCCACAGCGCAAGCAGAACTAAAAGTATCATCAGGCTCGGCAGCATACCGAGCGTTTTCCAGCCCATGCAGCTGCCAAGGAGGGCGAAGAGCCAGTTACGCTTGGTCTTAGGGGCCTCGGTGCCGTTTTTATTGCTGAGGAAAGGTATGGGGGATAGATGATCTCTCATTGCGGGCAGGGCCGAGATGGACCCGGGAACGAGCGCGCAATAGGCAGTGGAGAGCCGGGATGTGAGGTTGTTCTGGAGAGAGAGGAGGGAGGGCGCGATTGTGAATGTTATTAGTGTTATTACGAGAAGGGGGTGCGCGATGAATACGAGGAAGAGTCTGGGTTGTGTTAGTTCTGGGCCATGGAGATGGGCGTGGAAGACGGGTAATGGCATTGTCAAGGACGGTGGACAAACAGGAATGAGCTGAAGAGGAACTTTTTGATCGGCCCCATGTATGCAACAAAACGCCAGTATGCAAAGGGTAGAGTCAGGACTGCGGCTTGGAGAAGGCCCAAGATTATAAAGAGAGGTATGATGACTTTGAATAGTGTCATGATGACTTCCACGGGAATAATTCTGAGGAACGGAAGATTTGTTTGTGCTCTAGACTTGCGTTGTACGTTCACGGCATTTTGACCTTCATATTCTGACTGCTGATATTGTTGCCTAATATCAGATCCGTACACTGTGTTCTTAACACCGAACTGATGCGGTGTTCGCCATCTCCTTCTACACTAGATCTTCTTACAGTCATCCTGAGGGTGCAAATGTGGGTGCCTGGCGTAGGTACAGGGGGTCCATGCAGCTCACAGTCGCCACGACACGAACGACAAATAGCATTTGATAGTTATCCAACCCCACAACAGACTTTTTATGCTGCAATGATAGCGGCTCGATTCAAAGAAATTCTCAAACAACGTGGTGCTAGTTCACCAAAAGGACGGCCCACTAGGTTCAGCTCTGCAGCTGCCGCGAGAACATCCTCAATTTTCTTCTCAAGGTCCGCACCCACGGATCTCTCGAGGAGCAGTACAAAAGCCCGTCGCTTCCTGTCCTCCTCACCAAATTCTTCGCTGTTATCGAATTTCAAATCCTGCCAATTCTTCTCAATCCGCTCGACAATCTCATCAGGATCGTTTGGCAGCCCCAACTTCTCAAGCGAATCTGCCGTCCTTGCATCAATAAATGGATAAGCTTCGTCCCAAAACCGCTGGATGCGGCGGTAGAAGATATTACGCCCTGTTTTGCCCAGACTCTTGAAGGTGAACTGAACTGTCTCGCTCCTCATCGACTGAATTCTTGGTCTGCTTGCGTATCTTCTCGAGATCGTTGTGCCAGTCATTGCTCTGTATAACCACCGCAATGAGCTCGATCTCCTCGGTCGTCTTGCCTCTGTGCTGCGTGCGCGCATCATTTCGGGATTGATAGATTATCTCAGCGCCCGCGGCTCTGATGGTGTCTGCGTCCGTGAATTCGTAGGGTGAGTTAAGAACGGTACGGATTGTGCACAAACCCAGACGATTCGAAATAGGTCGTGATAGTATAACGGCACAGACGAGCTCTACGAAGGGGCTCAGGAGTTGAGCATAGGTCTTGATGTCTTTGCCGCGTTTTCAAGGTCCTCGAGCTCATCTTCCGGTCTGCACATCTCCACGGCTGTATCGCACAGCAGGAATCTTATGACTTGGTCGGACGATGCACTACTCTTGGTGGGCTGTTGGCCATGCGTCTTTGTTGCTTGCTCGAATTTCGTGGCTTTGGTGGCCTTCTGGGCAGTTTCTGGAAGCGGGCTCTTCTTTAGCTTGTTACCTGTGCTTGCTGATGTCTCATCGCTCGCTTCTTCCTTCAAATTGCCTTCAATCACTCGTTCCGAGTTCTTTTTTACAGACTCATGATCAGATACATCTTTGTTTGTCGAGCTGCGAGTCTCGTGTGGAGCCATGTTTGATTGCCAATGTAATTAGGGATGTGGAGAGGTACTACTAGGCAGCATCGTATGCGTCAATTGTACGTTTGCATCCGCTAAAACCAGGGGTGTGACCCCAGCCTCTCAATATTCCGACTACTTTGGATGATGACGTCGTACGAAGTACAGAACCTCATGGTGGCGGACTTGCTGAAGGTCATTCTAATCCGAATTAGACATAGCAGACACCATCAACTCTGTTGGTACACGCACCTAATTTACAGCTCTCGTGCTGGGCTGGCATTCCGCATCCGAACACGACATTGTTGGCAAGTAAAATCTCAACTCCCGATACTGCCCAAGAGATCCATCATTCGCTTCTGACTTTGCATTCTCGTTACCATCGCTGGCTCCTGTGCTCGTGGTGTTATGGGTGCCTTTGGCTGAGTATCGAGGCCCCAAGAACTGGTCGACTCAGCTGAAAATGATGCTGCATAATCGGCATGCGACACCAGAGCTGGCATTGGTGCAGAGTAGTGTCGATTCGGGGCATTGATTGGACTTTGCGTGCTCCAATGTGACTGATGCGCACTGTAGGACGAAGGTCGCTGGTTATTCTTCGGATGATAAGGGTCATCCGACGACCTTTTTGTAGCTAGATGATGCGTGTTGCTCGACCGGACTGTGCTTGGAACTGGCATCTGATTATTGTACAGCGCCAATGACGGCGGCAGCTCGTGAACAGTCACCAATGAGTCGCTAAGTGCGTTCGTAGGAAAAGGTCGACGTTGCACTACGTGCGTCGTCTCTGACATGGTTCTGTTGCGCAACTGAAAATGGCTCGTCCGGCACATTCCCACCTGATCAAACGCTGCCCGCAACCGTGGAGGATATCCTAGTGGTGGTCCAGGATCATCTCTGGGATGCTGAGCTGGGAAAGAGAGGTCGCTCAGCAGTTCAGAAAGGCTTTCGCCGGGTCTTTGAGAGCTTTCGCCGGGTCTTTGGGAGCTTTCGTTGTTGTAAGACGTCGCTGTCCCGGGATTGACGCACAGTTCGTATGGATTGACAGGGCCGGCGGAGTTTGTGGCACTGAAGACGACTGCGTCTCCAGCCAACTCAGAGATCGCCATGTCATTAAGGTTGCTCCTGTAAGCCCAGGTCTCATTGTGTGGTCTATTCAATGTGTCTTTGTGATCAGTGCCTTGATCAGCAGAGGTGGATTTGTCGGCCATCGGTGGACTGTACAGGCTCGGGCGCACATCATACGTAACCGAGTCAACCGAGACAGCAGTGGCGTATGTTGGCGGTGGACTGCCAGTGGGCTTTCGACTCGACGCAAATGAAGGAGAGCGTATGGAGTCGTCTCGCTCATGTACGTTGAACAGTGCTGCGTTTGATGGGCTTCGGTGGCCAGAAACAGGTGGCAGGCGACTGTATGTGTTCGGGACTGGGTTTGCAGCGGCATGATCATGCAGAACACCTTTTTTCACTGCTGAGTAGCTGGGTCAGTTGACCTGAGTCATTATTGCGGTACATAGCACGTACCGATCGACTTCTGACCCGAGTCTGCCTTTGGCGGTTTCGGTCTGTTTGTTCTTCTGTGTCTAGCCAGAACATCTTCGAACTGCGTTGTGTCTTCATACTCCTGCGGAGCCGGATGACCTGGTGCGACCTCCAGGCCAACCAAATAACCAAGGATACTTGAAAGCTGCTGATGACAAGTCGAGAGCTCCGTCTTGCGGCTGAGCAGCTTTTCATGATCGCTAAACACCCACCGAACCCTTGTGTCAAATCTGATCGACCCTGTGCTCTCTTGCTCGACTCGCACGCGTTCGACCCATCTCCCAATCTCGTTGAGTGCGTATCTCGTGTTGTGTATGGCAGTCTTGATCCAAGGAAGCTTCCCAGGTGTTGCAGTAAGCTTCTTCTGTACCGTGTCCTCGCTCAGGAGTCGCTCGACTTCTTCGAGATCCGAACGAACAACGCATATAGTGCGCACGAAAACTGCATTTTCACTTCCAACTTCCGCAATCCGTATGGCCACATCAGCAAACTTGAATGCACTGCCAATGCTGGTGAATACCCCCGCACTGAAAGGATCCATTTTTGTGAGGTTCCTGGGTTTATCAAAGACAGAGGTTGGCCACGAATGCTACTGGCGACATGGCGGCAAGATCTCGAAGACGTAGTGTGACGAGGCTGAGATGGGAGAACCGGGTGGGGATCACCTAGACCCCAAAAATGTGTACCTTCAGAGACAGAGTCGCAAGGCTGAGGCGTGCATCCTCGGCGAATCAAGGCGCATGTCTGGCTGCAAGCCTGGGCGGCCCCATCGCAGCATGCCGCTTCCACAGATGAGATTGATCAATCACGGGGGCCCGTAAGCGCCACCGATAATGAATTGATGGAGCGTGCAGGAGAAGGGCTTGAAGACATTCAGCTGCTCCACTTGTACGGTAACTTCGTAAACGCGCTACCGGTACCGGTACCGTAGCGCCGGCCCGAAACTTTTGAACCAACATCACCGTTCAGCCTTCGCAAAGCGCATCCAAGATCTAGCCTCGGATCACAGCCTGACTACGTCAAAGCTCATTACTCAAGCGCACAGCCTAACGTGCAAACAGTAGTGAATGACGAGTCTGGCGTTTCCGCCTCCACACCTCCCTCCTGATCATACCGCTACGACCTCCTTCTCAGTCAATGCCTTGATGGGATTGAGAGGCTGGCCCCTATCCCCAACCGTCTGTACCAAAGATGGAAAGACGGTCAAGCCGCCTTGATGGCTAGCGAAGTCGAAGCAAAAAGTACCAGGCTGAGCAAAGAGCAAGAAGGCGAAGTTAGCAGCGCGCGTTAGGATCATGTCTAGATTCTTGCGACGCTGACGGCCATCGACGTTGCCCTTGATGAACGGCGCCAAGATCGAGTCCAAGGATGCGACCGTGTCTTGGAATGCTTCGGCTCGATCAGGATCCTGGCCCTGCTTGCCATATTGCTGTTGTAGCAAGACTGCGGTGACGCTTTTCCACTTGCTGAACAGAACTGATTGGGCTGCGCCATTCCGTTAGCTGGCGTCCCACAACGACAAAAGAACGACTTACAGTTATTTTCATTGCTCGCTGGAATGGATGCGGCGAGAGCGGCCACATCGTTTGGAAGCAGACTAGGACTCCGCTCGCCAGTACATCTGGGGAGGATCACTGATCCCACAATCAAACGCAGAGCGTTGTCTCTAGTGAGAGAATCTGCGAGCGTCTTGACGATAAGTGCAGCGCTTGTGCCAGTCAATGCTGCGATGTCGCGAATAGCCGCTTCGTTGAGGTTTGTAGCAGAGATGGGACCAGAATGATAGTAAGTCCGAACATGATTCTTGATGTTGTCTCGAATCTTCGAAAGATCACCAGTAATGGCATCGTCTTCCGCGGGCTGCGGGAGCAAGTCGTCAATGCTTCCAACAGGTGCCGCAGCCACGGTAGCTCCTTTCTCTGGTCCTACATTCCGCTCCGTGTATGAACTGTGTTGTCGGGAGTGCGCGGTAGTCGACGTAGCTCGTCGCTTCTTTTGGCGACGCAGTAAGAACAAGAAGATGACTCCAGCGATGAGCGCTCCAGCGAAAAGCATTCCAATAGCTACGCCTGCCACCGGACCTGCCTCGAGTCCCTTTCTGCCTGTTGGAATAGTCGAATTCGACCCCGCTTCAGTCGGACTGACTGTCGGTGTTTTAGATGGCGATACCGATCTTTGAGTACTTTTACCGACACCAGTGCTTCCAGTCTGCGCGCTATTTGCTTCACTCGTTTGAGTCCCATCCGCAGACCCGGTTGGCGGACATGGTACGCTTGTGGTGGTCACAGTAGAATTATTCTCGAGCACCTGGACCTTGTTACAGAACTGGGTGGTATTTCCATCACTGTTCCCGTTAGGAGGGAGGGTGCTGAACGTGGGTGGCTGCAGGGAGATCATGTTGCTGTTTAGATGCGAGTACTCGCAAGGATGAGACAAGCAAAGGTCAAAGTAGGTAAGTGGCAGCTGTCACTTGAGATGATTATAATGTTTGGCGATGATCAGGTTGGCTTACACTATGAGTCTTGCGCTTCATAAGTTGTGCTCTCTTGTGCATATGTTGGTCTGATTTCCCTCAGCTGTACTTGCCCTGAACCGGTGTAACTTGACGATTGGACGCCACAGTGGATCACAACATCCTGCAATATACGCTTTCGGGATTCCTCAAGCAATCTACAAGGTCAAAGTATAGAGACAGCCTCGTGTGGCTGCTTACTCGACTGTTTCGAGCACGCCGTCCGTCGATAGACGAGTACAGGGTGGGGTCCAGAATGCTAACTACCAACCAGGCCATTCTTCAGCTTCAGCCCCCAATGCTCCGTTGAACCACTTCAGTACTATCTGGAGCCTTCTGGAGCGTAACTTCACAGCTCTTGCATGTCGCTTAGATATCCCCGTCCGCAGAGAAACACTGGCCACCGATTAGCGCAACGAGCTGACCTTCCTAGACTTCCAGCCTCGCTACACGGAAGCTGTCAATGTTTATTGTAAGAGCCTCGACGCGCTCCTGGTACAATTTTGAATGACACAGATACCCGCTGCCTCTGTGATCCACAGCTTTGCTCGTTAGTTACGAAAGTTCGAACTGAGGTTCGAGGCATCTGCGAAAATGGATCGCCCAGATATGGTGATATCGATAGACTTTGGCATGACCTGTATGTTTCCTCACACTCGTTCAGATATACTGCTGACAAGATACTGAAGGCACTGGTGTCGCATATTGCAATACGTCCACAGGGTCCGATGCAGTTAGACATATACAGAGATGGCCGGGAAGGACGCAAGCAAATGAAAACAAAGTAAGTAGAAAACACGGGTTACATTTCAAACCATTCAAATAAGTTTTCGTCAGGTCCCGAGTCTGTTGGTGTATCCGCACGGTTCTTCTACCCCTTCATCGTGGGGTTTTCTCGCCGAGACAGCACAAGAGGCTAGCGGTGCTGGCGATGAGAGCCGAGAGTGGTTCAAGATTATGCTGGACGAACATCTGTTGGAGCAAATGCGCAAGAAACCCAGCGACCCGTTAAAAGTCCCGCACATACACGAAGTCGAGAAATGGTATGTTGATTTCCTAACTAGCTCTGCGGCAGCTAACAGGTACACAATACAGGTACACTGATTATTTTCGATTCCTCTACCGAACCATCGAAACGCGACTGAAGGGCGAACTTGCTAGCACCTGGGAAGATGCTCAGATCGAATATATATTCTCCGTTCCTACCACCTGGCGGCCACTCCCGACGGTTGAACGGTTTCGAAAGATCATAACGGCCGCTGGCTTTGGGTCAAATCCAAATCATAAAGTCAATATCGGATTGACAGAGGCTGAAGCGGCGGCGGTACACACAGCGCGTAGCATGCCGGGAATATTCAAAGAAAACGAGATCCTCTTCGTATGTGACGTGGGAGGTGGTACGACTGATCTGTCCGTCTTCCGCGTCAAGAACACTATCGGTGGATCATTGAGCCTTGAGCAGCTAGACGTGGTCTTTGGCGCAACTATTGGTGCTGCACAGCTTGACTCTCTCTTCGAGAACGCAGTCCTCGAGCGACTCCAGCTTGCGGATCGCGCCATTCCGACTGGTCTACAAGATCTTCATTCCGCTGCATGGGAGATGAGGATCAGCAAAGAGTATCAGAATGCAAAATGCGACTATGGTTCTGAGGAGTCGCTAGCAGATACAGACACATTTGCTGTTCGAGTACCGAAGCTCAACCCACGCTACACAAATCAACAGTACGAGATCAGTGGCGGAGACATGTACTTTCAGCGAGACGATCTGAAGGGCAACTTCGATGAGCAGATTGCCAAATTGTTCGATATGATGGACAAACAGCTCGTGCGATTGCAGCAGAAGCATCCAAACGAACAAGTCGCACATCTTGTCTTATCCGGTGGTCTCGGCAATTCTGCGTACGTACAGTCATGTCTAAGGTCCAGATACGCCTTTGGCAACTCGACGCACAGCAATGCCCGAAGCATACAAATCCGAGTCGCGCCAGATCCGCAACTTGTTGTCTGCAAAGGCAATGTCGCAGACCGAGTCGCAAAGCTGAAAAGTGGCCAGTCGGTATTGGCCTGGCGCTGCTGCCGCGCATCCTACGGCACGAAGTACAAAATGTTGTACAATTCAACCATACCTGAACACATCGGGCTACGTACCGAGATTGACATTCTTGACGGCAAGGTTTATGTCGTCGATTGTGTTGACTGGTTTATCAAGAAGGTATGTCGTGCGGCTTGGTTGGCATTGACAGGTTTACTGACAGTAGAAGGGCGAAGCAGTGTCTAGTGACTTTCCCATTGTTCGAGAGTTCAGCCGCAAGTGCTCACCGGCGACCTCCGCGTTGCCAAATCCACCACGCATATTCCCTACCGATGTCATCTGCTCTGAAGCGGATGTAGAACTGCTACCCTACGCCATGAACTTATGTGAGTCTCTCTTGTTATCTGTGGCTGTGCTTTTGCTAATACAGTACAGCGTGTCGATCAATGTGCAAGGTCGAGTCCGATTTCGCCAAAGTGCCGTTGTCACTGTTCAAACTCAAGAATCGACACTGGTGGAACAGCGGCAAAAAGTATCACCGGATCAACTTTATGATCAAAGTGAACCTCGGTCCAGCTGACTTGTCTTTCGAGCTTTGGCACAATGGTGTAAAGCTCAGCAAAGACAACACCATCAAGGTGGAGTGGCAAGCAGCAGCGCCACCTGATTCACACCAAAGCCCTGTTGCGAGTGATTTCCCTATGAACAGCCTGCCTGCGATCACTAAAAAGACTGGTGGTATGGCCCGGAAGTCTGTTCAGCATCTTGGAAACATGAGCGGATACGATCACGCACCATCGGGGCCCTACGGCAATGGCTGGGACAACAAGATGGAAATTCAGACGAACATTGTGGCTGCGCAGCGAAATGGGTCGACTGTATGGTGATAGCGAGTTTGTTTTCGACGAAATAAATTCGTGACCGATGTATATACTCTGAATTGCACCTTTCACGCCTCCCGTACTTGCGCTATGTCTCGGCTTATCATCGTCACCATCAGCACACATTGCTTCCCACCCGTGATCCTTCTGACAATATCTGTGACTTCATTCAGTCTTGTCAAATTGGGACAATGACCGGTCTCGACTGACACACGCTGTACCTGTACACCTGCGTCTTCCATACCCTTCACAAACACTCTTTGATAATCCAGTGGCACTGTCATGTCTCCAATTGTATGGATGTATGTCACTGGCCCATCGCGCCACGCCGTACGCGCGGTTGTAAGTGGCTGATACATGCAGGTACCGTTCTACCGTCCCAATGTAGCCACATAAGCAACCTTCTCTTCTTCGGAGACACTTTCATCAGCACCAATCGACAGCAGCTTCGGGTCACGGTGGACACATGACTTGTCATCCGCGAAGTCGAAAGCCAGGGCAAAAGCTCTTCGTGTCCAAAATCGCGCACAGGGTCGACCATGCTCTTGCTTTCGGGGAGTGCCGTTTCAGTCATGTATATAAGGTGTGACACGCCACCTGGTAGCCCTTTTTGGGATCTTTCTGAGGCCCCGAGCCCAGCGAGCGCGTTGGTTCCCACTTGGCCACCATAGGAATGTATCAGGACCAGCATCTCTTTGCCAGCTTCAGCCAGACCTTGTGCATATGGGCGGATCAGAGCAGAATCGGCTTCCAGGTCGGAACTGGGTGGCCGCTCGTCACTTATTGACCCCAGCGCAGGAATGTGGACCACGAAGCCAGACGCAGAAAGAGCCTCGGTGAGCTTGGCGTAGCTTTGGGGTGTATGCCAGCCGCCCGAGATGAGAAGAACGACAGACCGAGAGTTAGCCATTCTGATGAATCGATACCTCGAGCGGGCTGCGAGAGTCAAACTCCAGCAAAATCTCAAGCGCCTTGATCTTTAAGTACTAAACCGAGGGGTGTCAGTACTATGCAGAACCGAGAAGCGCGTCATAAGCGCGGTCTGCAGCCAAGATGACTTCCGTAACTACAGCGTTCCGGATTGTGCATGCCTAGACACTCCAGGAGATTAAGCTGGGTGTTGTGGACTGGAGATGCACTCACGTCTGCTAGCGTCGCCGATGACGTCAGTTGATTGAAGCCTGCGTTTTACAATCTATCATTATCTGACTTCAAATCTTTTATCTTTTGTTGCGCGATGAAGCACCAATGGCGATGGATGTTGAGCAGTTCTTCAGTCGTTAAGCCACCGTGTATTGATCCACAGGACCAATTTGCTCTGGCAAACACGCTACAGCGGTCGATGAACAGTGAAATGAGACGACAATCACCGAATGAAGATTCTGACTCTCTCTGAAGCTGATGTTGAACTGCTTCTAGGGCCTGCACGTTGCGATAGGCGACTCCCGGCTCGACTGATTGATGGACGCAGCTATGATGGTCTGGACATTCCGAGTTTTATCTTCTTGCCAGCACAAATGCGGATGTCTTTTACCGTACAATCTTATGCTCTGGAGCGTAATGTCACCTGCAAGTCGCCATCGGAGACACCCTTTGTAGTCTTGTGAGTATCTCCAACACATCACCGCACAGTCTGTTGCCTGGAGCAGTACCGCAGCTGGTCACTCGAAAGCTCACCGTCTCCCTCAACAACCTTTAGTCCAGTCTCCAACACATTCAACGCGCGATCAACGCGCGTGAGCACAGTATTCTCCTTCCCGGAGACGGCGTCGTGCGAGACAGCTCGCTATGGCGAATAGCCCTACTGTGCAGAGTAAACCAATACCGATCCCACACCATTGTAGATCCAGCAGTATATTCTCGAACCACTAAGGTCAGTGTGAGCTGTGATCCTGACTGCGACGAGCGTACCACCAAGCCATCTCATCGCCGCTGAACAATAACATACGCAAATCCCAGTACAGTACGCCCACAACACGTGGTCGGTTGAGGAGAAGGGAAGACACAGGACATTCACACAGTCACAGTCACAATAACTACGTCTTGGAGCCGTCGAGTATCAATCCACCAGCCCCGGCAGCTCGCGCTGGATTAGATCTGCATTCACAGACGCAGACCCGGCCATTACAATATTTCGCCATCCCTTCTTCTCTGACACAACTGTACTCTGTTCAAAACCCGGGACTGACCACGACTTCTTGGCCTCCACTAACGACGTTGCAAAGCCCTTCAGACCAGACTACTACCAATATATTTCACAGATAGTCACCAGTATTTTCCGCACAGTCTTGCCGAGAATCTCTGTACTCCGAGACGACATTCCCCCTAGTTTTCGAAATCGCAGAGCGCTGTCAGGGTTCAGCATCAACAGACCCACAGCACACTCATCCCCCTCCACCGTGTGAAACCCACTCGCATTGCGAAGATATTCGATCGAGAGGAGATGCAACTCTGAACTCGATGTCTCGTCAAAGACGATAGCAATACAAATGTGCATAGATCGTTGATGTGCATAGATCGTTGATGTGCGTAGATCGTTGATGTGCGTAGATCGTTGATGTGCGTAGATCGTTGATGTGCGTGGACGATTAACTGACTTCCTGAGTAGATGCATGGGCATCTACCACACCTCTCGAAACTACCGCAGTCGTAGTGAGGATCAAACGTGTCCCGACAACGCCAGCGTATACGCATAGACGGTGGAAGGACGGCAGTGAGCGCGAGACTGGTGCGCAGGACGGATGAGGGCGTGTATCGTTATCTGATGCTGATGTCGACGAGGCTACCGTGTGGTGCAGAGCAGTGCAGAAGCACGCAGATCACGAGAACGAGCTAGGAACGGAAACAGGAATGGGGTGTGCTCAATCACGCTCGATGACACGCAGTATAGATACGCCTCACGCTCCTCCGTCTCCACTCCACCACCCTGCTCACCACTCCTCTCACCACTTCTCAACATCCCCCTTCCCCGGCATCTTCGCTCTGACGATCTTATCACAATTCAGCAGACACAGCGGGTCAAACGCCTTCTTCAGCTGGCGCATGGCGTCGACGGTCGCGGTGCCCAGTTCGTGCGGGAGGTAGTCGCGCTTGACGAGGCCGACGCCGTGTTCGCCTGTTGCCGTGCCTGGGGGGGTGTTAGATGGGCATGAAATAGAGGGGGTGGGGCGCCGGGATGGACGTGTAGGGGATCGCTGCTCAGGCCCTCGCTGCTCGCTGCGCTCGGGGCTCGTTTCGCTCGGGGCTCGTTTCGTTTGGGACTCACCTTCCAGCTCAATGGCGCGCTTGACCATGTCGTGCACGAGACGCTTCGTCTTGGCATACTCGGTCTTGCGGTTGTACAGGATGATAGCGTGGAAATTCCCATCGCCGACATGTCCGACGATGCTGCCCAGCAATCCGCTCTTGCCAATCTGCTCCTTGGTCTCCTCGATGATGAGCGGCAGCTTGGAGATGGGCACGGCGACATCCGTGGTCCACACACCGACATCGTCGCTGCCCTCGCCCTTGGCCATGACGCTCCACAGCGCCTCCTTGCGCGCCTGCCACAGGTCCTCCTTTTCCTGCTCGCTCGTGGCGAACTCGAAGCCGACGCTGCCGCTCTTCTTGGCCATGGCCTGGACCTGGGTGATCTGCTCGCGGACGCTGCTCTTGGTGCCGGCGAACTTGAAGAACAGCGTGGGCGCGTTCTTCCAGGTGCGCGCCGTCTGCCCCGCGTCGTTGATGCACTGCATCTGCACGTCGTCGAGGATCTCGATGGCGGCGATGGGCACGCCGGCGCCGACGACGCTGAAGACGCAGTCGGCGGCGGCGCGGATCGATGGGAATGCGCACACGGCGACGCTGGTGTGCTGCGGCTTGACGGTGACCTTGAGCGTGGCTTCGGTGACGAGGCCCAGCGTGCCCTCGCTGCCGATGAACATGCGCGTCAGGTCGTAGCCGGCCGACGACTTGCGCGGGCGCTGGCGCGTCTTGATGATGGTGCCGTCGGCCAGCACGACGGTGAGGCTGATGACCCAGTCCTTCATGGTGCCGTAGCGGTAGGCGTTTGTGCCGGAGCAGCCGGTGCCGACCATGCCGCCAATCATGGCCCCGGGGCCCGGGTCGGGGGGGAAGAAGAGGTTCGACTTGGCGAGCTCCTCGTTCAGCAGCTCCCAGCCGACGGCGGGCTGGACGACGACGTCGAGGTCGTCGGCGTGCAGGGCGAGGATCTTGTCCATGCGGCTGAAGTCGATGCAGATGCCGCCCTTGGTGGCGGCGAAGTGGCCCTCGAGGCTGGTGCCGCCGCTGTAGGGCGTCACGGGGATGCGGCGCTCGTGGCAGACCTTCATGATGGCGCTGACCTCGGCGGTGCTGCCGGGCTTGACGATGCAGAAGGGCACGTCGCCGGGCGCCGCGGGGTGCGACGACCACGACGAGCCGCTGTGCGACTCGAGGTCGGATCGCTCGAGCGAGACGTTCTCCTTGCCGACGATGTCGCGCACGTCGGCCCAGGCGGCCTCCATGTTGGCCTCGGAGATGTTGTGCTGGACGGGCGGGAACGTGGGCAGCGGCGCCGTCGAGGCCGTGTCGGGCTTGGGGGGCTTCAGCTGGCCGTAGTAGTAGCCCATGGCGCCGGCGACGCCGACAGCTGTGCGCGTCAGCAGATGCCTTCACCGTCAACGCGACCTATTGCCTGGGCGGGGGCGTGCATACCCGTGACCGTCGCCCAGAACTTGCCGCGCGCGGTGCGCTGCTGCAGCGACTGCAGCTGGTACTGCTCGGCCTTTTCCTTCTGCACGCGCTCCTGGATCGTCTCCTGCAGCTGCAGGTAGAATGGCCGCTCGCCGTCCGCGACGGGCTTCTGGTCCTTGGTGCTCGCCCATCTCTGCTGCGTGCGCCCGCGACTTATTTTTGTGCTGCTCACGAGCGTCGGAGCTCGGAGTGCTGAGCCTTTCGGCAGTCCTCGTAACGACATGTCTACAAAACTAGGTGGAGCATGTCTCGCAGCGAGGGTTTGCTGGAGTCTTGCGTCGATCCCACGAATAGTCGGCACTTTAGCGCCATGTCGTTCCTTAACGCCGAGCCGCCGACGCGAAGCTGTCGCGGAGGTGCTGCCGCTCCGCAACCAAGTCGGCTATATCTTCGGCCTTGACGTCTGGTCTGGGTGATGGCCGGGCAGTGGTGTTGACATTAATCGTGCTGTTGTTGTTTAGACAGGTTACTTTGACAAGGTGTGCGAGATGGTGTTGACATCAATTGTGCTGTTCTTAATTAGACGGTTTACTTCAACAAGGTGTGCAAGATGGTGTTAACATCAATTGTGCTGTTCTT